GGGGGGGGGAATCGGACTAAATTATATATATACATTTATGTGGATATTACTTATGATACCTACATTTATAGTATCATATAGCATAGCGATATGTGGACAGTCCGCTATATTCAAGTCAATTGTCTATTGGCAATAATGATAATATTTTTATTTTTTTTGAATATAATGACGTTAATATAAACTTTCGACAGGGAACAACGATTTACCCAAATTGGGCTCTTTTGTATACATGTGCATGCAGAAAGTCACACGTGCGAATGCGAGCGCCAAAGGCGGATTTTTTTTTAGATCTAGAAGCACTATCGTGCCATCTGGTGGCTTTTTAGATACATATTTGAGTGTTTTAATTTAATTTACAGACAACATTTTTTGGTTGATTCATTCACTTTATTATTGGAAAGCATCGCAAATATATGTATTTCAAATGCGAAAGACAGCTCTTTTTTCTCCTTTTTCTCTCCGACAAAAATGTGCCGATTGTTGGAATTACCCGAAAATATCCATTGCGTCATATCTCTGACCTGATGAATCTAAATCAACTATAGATATTTAAAATGTCGGAGCCAATATGAACAGATGAATTTCAGATTTTTTTGCTGTTGTGTCCCCCAAATCCTTTTTTTTATAATCAACATTTCTCAGAACCTAAGATGACGGTAGCTCGACCTATATCGATGTTTAGATATATATGTAGTTATACATCTATCTATGTATATATCTATCTATCTTCTTGTAATATGATGTATATGTACATGTAACTGTTCTGTTTCACTGTGTCTTGAAAAAGGAGCAGATCGCTCCGAAAATTTGACAACCTAAACTTGTCCACACTGTTGGAATTACTTCTTGAGTTGAACACTGTACAATTGTTTACAGTATAAATATATATATATATATATTATGTTTGGATTTATACCATTTAACAGTTAGGCATGGACATTTTAACAATGCACTCAAATGCAGCAGAATAATCACTATGTGTACTATATTCCAATTGTAATCTAGTAAACTTTTGCATCAATTCAAATCAATTGGATATTACAGTACGTCAAATCAATTGGATATTACAGTACGTCAAATCAATTGAACATTATATTACAGTACGTCAAATCAATTGGATATTACATATACGGTAACTGATGGGCTTTATACCCTTACACATAATATGAAATAGGCACTCATGCCTAAGCGAGGGCACATAGTTCAGTAAACTTTGTGATGATAGCGTAGATCTCAGACGCCAGCTTACAGCTTTAAGGTAACAAAATGAACAGAATCCCTCCTTAGGACATATGCTAGCTATATATATAGGTGTGCTGTATATCAATTCTGACATGAAAATGAAATGAATGGTGGTTTAAAAAATTAAGAAACCTGCTTTTTTGTTGTTAATAATTTACAATTATTTTAACAATTTTGTCAATATATCGCCCAATCCCTTTAGCACCGAAATTTCTAAAGAAAAAATGACAGAAATATGATCTACATATGTACTGTGCTTAAATATTCATAAACAAGGCAAAGTATTGCAAGGCAATCCATAGTACCAACCGGTAAGAATTTCTATATTTAACAAATAGTACACTTATGTCAGGAAGCATATAGGTCGATCACAGTGAGGTTAGAGTGACCTAGTACTTCACTCCGCCATCCCAAGATGTCTTTGTTCATCAAATCTGGTTACTCGGGTGAAATAGTATAGAAGATATGCCCCGGACGAATATTTTCAAATGTAAAGCTTTTTAAGGTCAAAGATCAAGTCACTGGTCACAGTGACCTAATTCTGTACACTCCGCCATCCCAAGATGTCCGGGATCCTTGTACATCAAATCTAGTTATGCCAGGTAACAAAGTATAGAAGATATGTCCTGGACAAACATTTTCAAAAGTAAAGGTCAAAGGTCAAAACATGCATCACAGTGACCTAATTCTGTACACACTGTATATGTACACTCCATCATCCCAAGATGTCCTTGTACGCCAAATCTGGTTACTCCAGGTGAAATAGCTAGTATATAAGATATGCCCCGAACCAACTTTTTCAAAAGTTAAGATCACAGGTCAAAGCATAGTAAGTCAGTGAGTTCATAGTGATCTTCTTCTTGCACTCTACACTCCCGTCATCCAAAGCTGTCCTTGTACACCAAATCTGGTTTATACTCCAGGTGAAAAAGTACAGAAGATATGTCCCTGACAAACTTCTCTGACGGACGGACAGAAAGAGTGCAAACNCCCCCCCCCCCCCCCCCCGAAAACTTTGGGGGGCTAAAAAATAATATTTAAATATATATCATATATATATGGCTGGTACATAATTGTCCGACATGTATTGCTGACAATTTTCAGAAAAAAAGTGAACAAGAGGCCCAGAGGGCCTGTATCGCTCACCTGGAAATGTTAGTAAAATTGAAGTTGGAATAGCTAGATGTTGCTGGTAGTGTACAGGTATTACATGGTTAGTCAGGGGTTATATTTATATGCAATTGGACAAAAAAACTTGTTAAGAAACTTGTTATGTTTCCCCTGTTGGGCCCTGCCCCTCTGCCCCAAGGGGGTTCAGACCCACCTGTGATACAAAATCAGGTCGTCTTTAACCAATGATGCTTTAGACCAAAAAAGGACAAAATCCTGTTATTCCTACAGAAGAAGAATTTTCAAGAATTTGCTAAATTACCACTATTGGGCCCCACCGCTCAGGCCCCAGGGAGGTCAGACACACCATTTACACAAAACTGATTTCCCTTCCCCATAGGATGCTACTGTTCAAATATGGTCAAAATACCTTCATCGTAACGGAAGAAAAAAGGATATTAAAGCTATTCCTCTATATCCCTTATTTGACCCTGCCTCTCTGCCCCCAGCAGGGTCAGACTAACCGTTTATACAAAATTGGTTCCCCTTCACCCAAGGATACTTCATACCAAATTTGGACAAAATCCTGTCATTTCTACAGAAGGACAATGGGCCCCGCTCCTCTGCCCCCAGGGGAGGGGGGCAACACCAAGACCAAGATGCAAGGATGCTGTAGACTAATTTAGGATAAAATTCTTTAATCTCTATGGTAGAAGAAGGATTTTAAAGGTTTTACCTCTATTTCCCCTATTCAGGCCCGCCTCTCTGCCCCCAAGGGGGCCACACCCACCATTGCTACAAAATTGAGTCCCCTTTGCCCAAGTATGCTCCAGACTAAATAAGGATAAAATCCTTTAATCCTTACGATAGAAAAAGGATTTTTAAGGTTTTAACTCTGTTTCCATTATTTGGCCCCGTCCCTCTGCCCCAAAGGGGGCCACACCCACTTTTTATACAAAATTGTGTCCCCTTGGCCCAAGGATGCTCCAGACTAATTTAGGATAAAATCTACTCAGCCGTTCAGGACTAGTAGCATTTTAAAGGAAAAGTTGACGTCCCCGGACGCCGGACCTTCGGACCAGATGAGCTAATAAAACCAAACCAAACTATTTAAATCACCCTTCGTCCGCAGTCTGTCTGTCTGTCCTTAAACACTTCTTGTTATCGCCATTTCTCAGAAAATGCTGGAGATCTCCCATTCAAATTTCACATAAAGGTTCCTCTTAGCGCCATATCAAATTTTGGGACTGATGGGAAAAGTAAGATTGCCAACCGGCATCCATCTTGAATTTTTAAAATAAGTTTGACAGGTCTATTTCTAGAATGAAGCTTTGATCAAATGTTACAAGGTGCCTTTATTGTTTAAATGACTCAATCCAACAGATAATAGTATTATAGAAGAGAAAAGATCAAACTTACATAGATTATATAAAGATGGTATGATTGTGGGTGCCAAGATCCCTTTGGGATCTCTTGTTATTATTAACCAGGTAAATCTCAAATAGAAGGACAGAGATATTTTGCAAGACACACGGAAGAAAATTAGGAAGACAGAAGAACATTCCTGTTCGGAAAAGAAACTTGTTTTTAATTTGTTTCCACTAAAAAAGACATAAAAACCCCCAGAGACAAACATAAAAATAACAGTTTTATTACACTCTCATCTCTCTACACTTAGGATTGTTTCTTCTATGAGTCTCAGAACTTCCTTACTCCTGTCAAAGGCTCGATCAAAACATGTCAACAGCTGTTCAGACTTAAGCGGACTTCCACCTGTTGAGACCAAAATGAAAACATTTAACATTTTAAGACATAATTTTTTCAGCATTTTCTCACTTTTGTAATTCATTATGCTCTTTGATATTCCAGTGAAAAAAGAACACCGTACAAGATTTTCCCAAAATTTGGTGTTTCCAGTTACCTTCCCTACCCTATTTTTTGTGCCTACCCTAAAATAAAACCTGTTAACTATCTATAGCTACCTACCCTAATTTTTTTCAACATGTTACAGGAAACATATATAAACAAGAGGCCAAGAGGGCCTGTATCGCTCACCTGAATATGTTCAAAATAATTGGCATGAAGTAAAGATATAGGACTCCATGGTAGGTGCTGTAAGTACATATGAAATTTCAGAAAGATCCATCCAGTACTTGAGATATAGCGAGAACAAACTTCAAACAGAGCCCCACCCCTATGCCTCTAGGGGGGCCATACCAACCAATTATACAAAATTGAGACCCCTTGGTCCAAGGATGCTCCAGACTAAATATGGAAAAAATCCCTTAATCTCGATGGTCGAAGAAGGATTTAAAAGGTTTTACCTCTATTTCTCCTATTGGCCTCCGCCCTTCTACCCCCTGGGAGACCACACCCACTGCAAATAAAAAATTAAGTCCCCTTGGCCCAAGGATGCTCCAGACTAAATTAGGATAAAATCCCTCAATCCATATGGTAGAAGAAGGATTATAAAGGTTTTACTTCTATTTCCCCTATTGGGCCCCGCCCCTCAGGTCCCAGGGGGGCCACACCCACCATTTATACAAAATTGGTTCCCCTTTACCCAAGGATGCTCCACACCAAATATGGACCAAATCCTTTCATTCCTACAGAAGAAAAAGGATATTAAAGAGTTTGCTATGTTTCCCCTATTGGGCCCCCCTCTCAGGCCCCTGAGGTGCCAGACCCACGGTTCATACAAAATTGGTTCCCCTTCACCCGAGGATGCTTCAGACCAAATATGGAACAAATCCTTTCATTCCTACAGAAGAAGAAGGATATTAAAGAGTTTGCTATGTTTCCCCTATTGGGCCCCGCCCCTCAGCCCCCTGAGGTGCCAGACCCACCGTTTATACAAAATTGGTTCCCCTTTACCCAAGGATGCTCCACACCAAATATGGACCAAATCCTTTCATTCCTACAGAAGAAGAAGGATTTTAAAGAATAATTTGCTATGTTTCCCCTATTGGGCCCCCCTCTCAGGCCCCTGAGGTGCCAGACCCACGGTTCATACAAAATTGGTTCCCCTTCACCCGAGGATGCTTCAGACCAAATATGGAACAAATCCTTTCATTCCTACAGAAGAAGAAGGATATTAAAGAGTTTGCTATGTTTCCCCTATTGGGCCCCGCCCCTCAGCCCCCTGAGGTGCCAGACCCACCGTTTATACAAAATTGGTTCCCCTTTACCCAAGGATGCCCCACACCAAATATGGAACAAATCCTTTCATTCCTACAGAAGAAGAAGGATTTTAAAGAATAATTTGCTATGTTTCCCCTATTGGGCCCCACCTCTCAGGCTTCTGGCGGGCCAGACCCATGGTTTATACACAATTGGTTCCCCTTCAGACCAAATATGGAACAAATCCTTGCATTCCTACAGAAGAAGAAGGATTTTAAAGAATTTGCTATATTTCCCCTATTGGGCCCCGCTCCCCCAGCCCCCAGGGGGGTCACACCCACCATTTATACAAAATTGAGTTCCCTTGGCCCAAGGATGCTCCAGACTAAATTAGGATAAAATACTTTAATCCCTACGGTAGAAGAAGGATTTTCAAGGTTTTACCTCTATTTCCCCTATTGGGCCCAGCCCCTCTGCCCCCAGGGGGGCCACACCCAGCGTTTATACAAAATTGAGTCCCCTTGGCCTAAGGATACTCTAGACCAAATTTAGTCAAAATCTACTAGGCCGTTCAGGTCTAGTAGCGATTTAAAGGAAAAGTTGACGGACGGACGGACCAGGTGAGCTAAAAATTGTCTGGCCTAAACAAAATAAAATCTTAAAAATGCAAAACCAAAAACATTTTGCAACTGATGAGCATGACCAACTAAGGTAAATCCTCCCTCAAAGATTTCCCAGACAAATTATGTGATTTGCACGTATTTGGTCAAAATTAAGTGTACAAGCTTGATTATTTGCAAATTCATTTAACGAAAAAGTCATAACTATGCAACGTAATAATTGAATTGTGTGCAGTACAAAACAGCTGTGCTCCCTATTGTAAAATCACATACCAGAGTATGTGCTTTCCATTAAAGTTAATTTCCAACCCTTACATATGTACCTAATGAATGCAATTTCAAAGCACACTTGAAGCTTTAATATTTATGCTTGGGAAGAAGGAACATTCAAACCCCAGTATCTATATTTTTCAATGTTGAATGACTTCTGAAATATTTTATTATCAAAATGTCCTGCTTGAAGCAATGTAAACTGACAAACATTCACTGACCATGCTAGCACTTCATACCTATTACAGAAAGCCATGTGATCTAATCCAAAATCAATTTGTTTATAGGACAGGGAAGACTGGGAAATACACAGATTATAGCAGGACAGGAACTAGGTATCCTGTACCAAAAAATCACTTGAACAGGTCAGTGAAGTAAAACTGAGAAAAGTAACATTTTAAACTCTATAATTAAGATATCACAATATTGCTGTCCTGAAAGATTTCTAAACAAGTAAAGTTTCAAACATAATTAAATGCAAAAAATTCTTTTCATGAGACAGAAGAAACCACTTTAATAAGGAAATCCATTTTGGTGGTGATAAACCACATGAGAAAGCAGCCAGAATCACAGTGTAAGGTCTCTTTTGCATACTCGTTTCAACTGGCTGAACCGAAAAAGAAAACGACAGGCTCAGATCTTAAATGAGGCTAAGACCTTGAAAATTTGGCATGTTTATAATGATGAGGGGTCCAGAGCCTCCAACCAACACTAAAATAATGACTTTCACTAGTTTGCATTAATTCCGCTTAAAACAAAGTCGGTTCACATGTATCTTTCTGGAAAAGTTACGAGATTAATTGCACAGGAAAAAGAAGTACATTTTATTCTTGATATATTGATAATTCTTTGTCACAAAACATGAGTACTGTGCATTTTTAGCTCTGCCTGTTGTTTCAGTCCAAGTATGTTCTTTTATCATGGAATATATCTATGCCACCTGAACTGTTTCCACAGGGATACATGAAAGTGACTGTTACACACCTGGTTTGTGTACCATGCAGAGTTTGTTACCAACAGTCACTACAGTCACCATGCCTGTAGCCAGCCCCTCTTCCTCTACTGTAGGGTCCACAAACAGGATACGGCTGTAACATTGATAAACAACACATCAGGGAACAATTTGATGGCAAGCTCATTTCAGAAAGATATTTTAACAAGAAACTTCATGCTTCAGAACTTAATACTTATAGGTATACATTGCATTTTAAAAATGTCTAACTTTACCCCTTGACACTCATCTCAGCAGATCCAATATGAACATCCTTGAATGAACATCTAATAGGTAATGTTAAATACAAACTATCGCAGCTCTGACAACTATTACAGTTATGGAGCAGAATTTATTTAAACTTTGCATTTACTATTTCACCATTCCCCTTGGAAATGTCACAAAATTGCGTGATCCTGAGCATTCATGTATTAATGCATGATGTAGTCTTGGTTCTTACTCCAATGCTAGATGTGTAGTGAGACAACTAGGGCCTTGATGGCTGGGTTTATAAAGCTCCTCTACATCCCAACAAATATTACATAAATATTCACCATTAGCAGTGTTCTTCCCTGTTTTACTGATGTGGACATGTAACTAACAGTGTCCTAACTACTTACTCATCAAATATAGAGAATGTGGAGGATACAGGCTGTGATGAGACAATTAAAGAACATGTTTTGTCCATGGTCACTTCTGGTACCTCTTCCTTCTCCTCTACATGTGGCAAACGAGCTGTGTACAGGTAAAAAACATGTTTAGTGTGATGTGATATGGGTTGAAAAATAGTTGCTTTATACAAGTACTTCTTTAAAAAAACCTTAAATAAGATAAAAAAAATTCTTAAATATTCTGACGAGCTTACTGAAGAACTTACTGTTTCTGAATGCTGCTAGCAGTGCCAACACAGCAGTGTCATAGACGTTTCCATCATAGTCTAAACACATCAGGTCGCAGTGTAAAACCCACACCAGCTGACAAGTAAAAACACATCAGGTTACAATGTAAAACCCACACCAGCTGACAAGTAAAACTACATCAGGTTACAATGTAAAACCGACATCAGCTGACAAGTAAAAATACATCAGCTTACAATCTTCATGCAAACCCTAATTCACCATGAGACTCTCAGCTAATCTTTAATTCACCTTCACATTTTACCTTCAGGTAACCTTTACTGAACTTCGAACTTTACTTGATATTTTGATTGTCCTTACCTTTCCTGGTACGACACATTGATAATTTGATTGTTCTTACCTTTCCTGGTACGACACATTGATATTTTGATTGTCCTTACCTTTCCTGGTAAGACCCATTGATATTTTGATTGTCCTTACCTTTCCTGGTATGACCCATTGATATTTTGATTGTCCTTACCTTTCCTGGTACGACACATTGATATTTTGATTGTTCTTACCTTTCCTGGTACGACACAAAGATTTTGACAGTCGACACATCCTGAACTGTAATGAAAAAGGCAAAAATAAGTTAGTGTTTCTGCTTGAAAAAATTGGTAACAAATAATTGTACAAACTTCCCAGTCTGCAGTGTATTTAGAACAAAAAATGACCAGACTGCAGTGATTTTAGGACACATTCACTAAGGAATTGCTTTAGGACTTCCATTGACCAGGTAACAGCTCATTTAGGACAAACATTGAACCATCTACAGCAAATCTAGGACATACATTGCACAATCTACAGCAAATCTAGGACATACATTGAAGAATCAACAGCACCTTTAGGACATACATTGAATAATCTACATCACCTTTAGGACATACATTGAACCATCTAAAGCAACTTTAGAACACACATTGATCAATCTACATCACCCATAGGACATACATTGAACCATCTAAAGCAACTTTAGGACATACATTGAACAATCTACAGCACCTTTAGGACATACATTTAACAATCTACAGCACCTTTAGGACACACATTGAACAATCTACAGTGCCTTTAGGACATACATTGACCAGGATACAGTGTGTTCAGAAAGAGAATCCATATATGCATCATATTGTATCACCTAAATAATGTTATGAGGTCAAATTTCAAACTCAATTTTTGTTACTGATGTAAATATTTTCAGGATTTGTTTGAATGTTGTTTGAGGTTGATAATTTGTAATGCCATGTTGACTTGAATATATCATTAACATAATGAAGGCTTAAAATCAGGGTGTTATCCAAAGGGGCAGAGTGTATGTCCAGCACTCAACTCTAACAAACATGTGGGTTTTTTTACAGACTTTCTAAGGATGTTTTACAGGGGTTTGTCAGTCATACTGCTACTGAATAACATGGCTTATGTTTTAGCACTATCTTTCAGTTTTATGATTACAAACCGTTCCATTTTTGTTCATGCAGCTGTTACATGTCAGTAAAAGTCATTAAACTCATTTAAGTTGTACATTAAACTCATTTAAGTTGTACATGAATTATCTGTATTAACATTCAAGCTTCCTTTCTAACCACAACAACTGTGAATGTTACTGCAGGGCTTTCGTGTCCTACAGTATCAGACTTATCCTGCAAAACTTACATTCTGAAGGTGTGAAATACCTTACATCACATCACCTTTTACTGAAGGTACTTTACCTACTTTTTGATAACTTCTGCAATAAACTGGCTCATAACCTGGGCTTGTTCGCTGGGTGGTCCTGGTCGGAAATGTGGAGAACAAAGGGGTGTCAGCTGTACATTGGGCACTGCAAAAAACAACACTTTTACACTGACTTTCTGTATAAAGGAGAGTGCTAATTATTATAATTAATTTGCTAATTCAAGAACCTTGCCATGTTTTACACCATTAGAAAGTTAAGGAAAACAAGAGACGCCAGAGGTATCTTGGTGCCCAGCATCATACCATTTTCATAAAAATTATTCAGAATATATGAATTTAATTGACAAATTTCTTTCTTTATATCCTATGTTTAAACATTAATAAAACTGAAAACAAAGTTTGATAAAACACAATATTCACTTGGATGAGGATGCAAAAATTATACATTAATTAGTAGCATGACTGTCTCTTTGCAACCTTATAATTGGACAAAGCATAATTGTATTGTGGTACAGTGAACCAAAAAGTGTCAATATTTACCAATGAATCCTCTGTCTGGCTCTGCTGGTTTTGGTGCTGCTAGTTCCTGAAGTGGAAAAAAGTGAGATTTAAAAAAAGTTATTGATGATTAATATTTCATTCATGTAATATCTGAAAGCTTGGCCATTCAAAATGTTTTTTGAATTTTAATAAAAAAAAACATAAGCTGTTTATTTTCATAGTAAATATAGAACACTCCAATTAAGATATAGAGCTAACTTAATATATAGGTATCTAAATTATATAATGCATAATTTGTAAATAACTCTTGCACACTGAACACTCACTAGAAGATATACATCTTGTCAATGGAGACTAGAAGAATGTGGTATCAGCCTTACTCAGGCGTACATCAAAATGTAAGAGGGTTAGTGTTTGAGGTTGTATAGCTTTTCTGTTTATATAGGTCTGTATCTCCTTTTTTATACCATAGCTAAAACACTGTAATACAACAGAACTGGTTAAATTTTGTGATAGTCAAATTGCTCAAAATAGCATATATTGCATTGAGATTTTGATGCAATAGTATGTATATATATGTCGTATGTATATCGATGTCTGTAATCGGGAGTACCTGTGCCTTCATCAAAAAGGTTTACCGTTATTATGATCAAATCTTGGTAACCGACTTCTTATGTATATTTGGGCTTAATTATACGATACCACAGAAATGCGTACTCTACAATAACACTTACTGCCTTGATACCACACATGATAGTTGTATTTCCCAGCTTGACTAGAGCAGACCCCTCAGCTGTTGTGATACAACCTATAACAACCATATAAACATTTTAACATTTATGGTTCTATTCTTAGAGTGCCACTGAACATATATGGGATGGATGTTATTGGACTATAACAAACATATAAACATTTTCACATTTATGGTTCTATCCTTAGAGTGCCACTGAACATATATGGGATGGATGTTACTGGACTACAAGAATTGGTGGTATGTATTAGTATACATGAAGTATAATTCTATGTAGACTAATAATTCTTGTACATTTTGTTTTATAGGGGTTTACATTTGCAAAGACTATATGGCTTGTGGTTCTTCAAAGAGTATGTTTTCACTTCTTGTATTATAACATGGTGCAGACTTCATATTGTTGAGGTACCATGACTAAACCAAAATAGCCATTCAAGATCTTTATCTCGTTAAAAGCATTGCTGAATTCCTTATACATACTCCAAAACACTTGTGTAACCTGTATTAAAGACCACATCAAATAGCTGAATATTGTACATTCTAGTGACAAACATTACATACAGGTACCGGTATACATAGACTTACCTATGTTAAGTACTGTTCGCCTGAACTCCCCAAGTTCTCTGCCGTCTGGTCGAACATCTTTCTCCTGTAGAGTTTAATAATGATAAATAGAAAATATGAAAGAAAAAAAATCCTATTGAATCAGAATACAATGGGCATTGTCTATCTACCTCTCAAAACAAACAATTTTATTTTTCTGATTGCAAAATTATCAGTTGATTACCATAGAAGGTATTTTCTATCATTCAGAGAACTTCACCATAAGCTGTTCATATAATAATAAATTAGTACTTTTTCAACTATCTTGAGAAAAAAGTGAGGATACAATAAAATAAATACCATTTTTTTCAAAGAACATTCATGAAAGTACATCACTTTATACTTATTCACTTACCAAAAATTTCCTATAGTACTCAACAGGCTTTGCTATTCTGTAAAAAAGTAACAATAAGATTGAGGTATATTTACTGTACTTAGCTTTCAAACAAGAAACTTGTATTGAAATTAGCATTCTAGTACAAAATATGTGTTTTATGCATAGCACCTTGTTGTACATGTTGAAATTTTAGAATGGCTTCCTTCTTGGGATCATAGTAGGGGTTATACAAAGTTTTTTACAAAGGCATGTGACGCTATTGTTTTCCTTCTGATTTATTCAGAGATTCGTCAAATGCAATAGATTCAGTTTCTTCTGGAGCATAATCTACAAGCTTTAGGGAGTAGATTACATTTGAGAATAAAATTAAAGAAATTTTACCTCGATGATTAATGATGCATTCTCATGAATTGCATATCTGTTTCATTATACACAATTGTAACCAATAAAATATATGAAAGACAAAAATATGTTTTTTTTGCATTAATCATGATTTGGCTTCCCCGTTTGAGGAAAGTTTTTCAAAAGAATGATATCCTACAATGCAAGTTTGATGTCATACACATTGAGGAGTTGCTTCACATTTAGAAATCATCAAAAATGTCATTTGACATGCTTAACATTATTCTGCTTTAGTTGAAAAGCATGTGCAACATTTGTCATTATTATTTTAATGTCTCTAAAAGGTATCACCCTGGGACCTTATGGCTTTAGTGCAATGCTACACCATAAGAGCTAAAATGAAAATCTTTGTAGACAAGTCTGGAAGCAGCCAGGATAATATTTTACTCTCCAAGAAAGAACTTGTCCGAAGTGTTTCCAGGGGCAACAACAATATTTGAGAGCTAGGCGGACTGTTTTTGTCAATATTTTCAGGGCCTCAGGTCGGGAATCAATGCAACAAAGGTCATTATCATTATCTTTATCAATGTCTCAAATTTTGCCTGAACCGGAGACCTGGGGCCTTTGGCTTACTAGTCTGATTCCATATCAAATGAGCCAAAGTGAAGTTATTTGTTACTCAGTCAGTAGGAAGCGACTATATTTTTTACAAAATGTTACATAGCGAGTGTTATCAAAGTCAATAATATAACACTAAGGTTGATGTCACCATAAAAATAGTTCCAAAATAAATCCATACAATATTTAAGTAAATATTGCAGAAATCGGGTTTTTTTGGTCAACATGACATATTTTACCTCTCTAACATATATTACAAATATAAACAACAATTATGATGATAAGCTTAAATAATCATAATGAAAGCTTCTGTTAGGGTATAATAACAAGTAACCAGTAAATATTTCAACAAGACTGACTCAAAGAGCAAACAGAAAGTAGAACCAAATATTAGTTAAGTTCAAGTCAGTAAAAAAGTGTTTTTAAGTATCATTTAACAAATCATTGCTTCTGATTTCTGCATTGTATCTTAAACATTAAATTGATTGAATTATGTACAAAATGTAAAAATATATATTCCACGTGCGGCCCGTACTTAAAATCGTCGGCCATCTTTCTGAATGATCCGTGTAATTTACAATACAAACAATTTCATTGGTTCATGGGAATACCAACCACCAATGAAATCTTATCTTTCAAAAAAGTACGGATCTACGGAATCACTCTGATTTTTTCTACACGCACCGGTTGCTGGATGGCGCTGGATTTAAAGGCGGACTGACACATACGTTGACGGTGTTTCTGTCAAAATGGACGAGCAAAGCATCATTGAGTTTAAAGAGGTAGTAGAAACTTTATTATGTAATCCGGATAGACGAACGAAGGTTGAACATAACGAAACAAAGTTTTCAGTTGCTAATGAAGAAATTCTCAATGATGTTGTTCCCAGCCAGTTGTTCGAATTCCAATTTCCTGTTATTCTTGTCAGTTCAGTGGTTGATGCTGATGTGACTGAAGAAGAATTTTATGTACCAGATCTAGGCATAAATAATGACATTTCAACAAGATCTCGACCAGCACGAAGTGTGAGCCACAGTCAGAGTGAAGTTGAGGGCTCTCCATTGAAGTTACAAACTTACGCAGATTTTAGTTTCTCTTCACCATCTTCTGATGCATCACTAAATGTCAGAAAAAGAACTGTTGTCAGGGCGACTGGTGTTCCATTGGACAAGGCAAGAGAGCTTGCATCTTATCTGTCTCTAGCATACTCGTCCAAAGTATCCGATCATATTCAGAGTAAATTAGATTCTGATGCGACTCTTGATGACTCAGCTCAAGCTATTAACAAAATACCCTCACTCTTCATTCTCTGTGATGGATTAGATCATAAAAGAACTGCATGCATGTATATTGAGCCAATCTATTTGAAAGCAACAGACTCAAACAAATGGACAGGGTGGAAGGTTTCTTCAATCTATGTGAAAGATCCAGAGAGTGACGAATCACATATGCCTAATTTCCATAAATTGGATTTGTCGGGAAAACAGATAGAGTGTGAGGCAAAGTATGACCTTTTCGAATCACATCAAGAAAATGATCGCCAACCTATTGATAAATACCAGGGATCCTTGCAGTTAGAGGTACGATGGAAGAAGTTGACCAGTGCACCCCCTTTAGATGCCAGAACAATTATAAAGGCCAAGGTTTTGCCGGGAGACATACGAAGTGCGGCTCACAGTTTATACAACACTTTAGAAGCCCTCAAGCTTCATGTTGCAGGTACAAGAAGTCCAGAACTATATCAATTCTAGTGATAAAATGTGTAAAAAAAAAACCACCAGAGCCTTTTTTAGCTGCATTTTATATGTAAGAGTAGAAATTATTATATACCTATAGGCCTGTATAAGAAGAAATAAAGTCCAGGGTGCAAAAAATCCCCTGGCCCAGGGCTAGTAAATTTGGTTGAAGGGCAAGTGAAAATTTCTATGGACTTGCCCGACAGGAAAGTGATTGATGATATTTTGGTGCTGGATTGTGAAAATGTCATGCATGAATTGACTGTAGTTTGGTGGGATACTCTTCAACCATTATGAAACAAACAAAAAGTTTGTTCTTGAGTTGAAAACAAACTTTATTCTTTGTTTTGAAGAAAAAAATGCCAGTAGATTACCAGCAGTCTTTCTATCAATTCAGACGATTTTGTAGAATTTAAATCTGGTGAAAATAACTGAAACTTAAGCTAAAAAGGTAAAAGAGATAGATAAAGGATTTACTTACTTATTTAATAATTGTATGTGCTACATTGTTTAAATAAATTTAACAACTGAGGGACATCGTTTTTGCCTGAAAAACATATGTCCCTGTTTATCAAAGAAGAAGTTGCAATGGCGTGACTAATAAGCGGACATATCCTGACTCGGATTTCAGGAATTTAAAACTAAATAATAATCACACATATTAGAATAAATAAAATAAATCTGTCACCTGCAATTTAATAGTAAAAAAATAATCCTCATTTTAATGTTGGAGCTACTGGGTGGGGGAGTTCAAATATTTCATGAAAACTGAAGACTTGTTGATTCAAAATAAACTTTAATCTTTTTTATATAATTATTTTTGAAGCTGCAACTTTTTTTGATTTACCTGCCAGAATGTCCTGTAATAATTTTAAATGTTTGGGACACTCCGCTTGATGCATCAAGTCTTTATTTAATATATAAAGTGATACTTTTTAAATCTTGGACCAGTAATTTTAAGATTCTACTTCGGGCAAGTGCATTTTAAGATCCACTGGCCCGAATATTTTTCTTGCCCTGAAGTCCCACAACAATTGGGACTCCAGTGCTCCAGATAACTTTTGAACATGTGGGGTTTTTCACCCCTACCTCTCCAAAGTGTTGGGGTGAAAACTTAAATTTTAAACCATGAAGTGCTGTAAAAGCAACGTTACCTGAAAATTTTGAAATAAGATGAATAATTTGTATGTGTTATTCTTATAGTATACGGTTAAGAATGACTCAAATTCATATTTTTGTGTTGTCTTGACATGTGGTATTATTTTTCCATTTCACTGTGATTGTGTTTAAATGTTTAAACCCAAAACTCAATGAGTTGCATATTTTTTTCGTTTGAATAGTACACATATCCTTCTTCGTTTTTTATCATTCCATATTCGAACAGCCCGTCTTGGCTCAAAGTCAGTTCAGGTCCTAACATGTTGATTTTCATCAATGTATTGACAGTTGCTGCTTTGAGAGAGCATCTTAACCGTGACTTTAGGCGGTTTTGCACACTGAATGATCGTTCACATTCTATTGATGTTATACACAAGGTTAATGCAATTTGTGCTAAAACAGAAAAGTTTGGAATCATTTTTGAATGAAGTAAAACTACCCGCCGATTGTTGACATTTTGATAGCGCCATAATTTAATTCTCTCTTGTGTTAGCGTTTGTAACAGGAGGCATTGATATGCAAGCGTCTCGGTGACTCACTGTAAGCGTGTTATAATATGCTAAATTGGACCCGGAGACTGACGCAATGTTCCGGATTTTGCTTGCGTGAATTAAGCAAGTTCATTTTTTTCTTTTGCGTAGTTTGTGAAATATCGTGCGTGAATACGCATTCACGCAAGCTATCTGGAGCACTGTAATACTCGATGGATATACATCTCTTACAGCCAGCCATGTACGCTAGAGTTTTCCCATGATGGAAAGCCATGAAAGAAAAATTATTCCCCCCCGTAAGACTTATAGAATCTCTCACCCCCAAAGGGGGTGAGATAGGGGAATCTCAGCCCTCGGGGGAAGGTTCTTAAGTTGCCAAAAACAATACTTTTCCTTGTGATTGGCACTTTAGAATCTTCCCCTGAGGGTTGAGATTCCCCTATCTCACCCACAAGGGGGTGAATGATTCTTTTTCTCTTACCCTGTTATCTTCTCAAACGTGGTGATAATATTACATGCTAAATTCAGGGTTGAGGTGACGTCATTGTATTGTTAAAGTGACGTCGAACCATTGTTATGAATAGGGAAATCCCCACGTCTCAACCCTAGGGTAAGACAAGGAAATCTCACACTGTTAAAAGTGTGGATACACTTGTCTAGGGTAAGAAAAAGATGTATTCACACTTCCGGTCAGGGAAAGGTATCTCGTCATACCATAGTATAAAAATTTAATTGGGGATTCCCCTGATATCATGAAATGATGAAATTATGAAAGCAACATTTGTATTTCATGTAATAACCACTTGTATTTGATTTGAGAGAAAAATAATCATTCCCCACTTAAGGAGTAAGACAGAAAAATGTCAATCCCTGGCAAAGTCAAGAGGTAGACATTTAGGAATCTTACCCCTTGGGTTAAGATTTTTCTGCCTTACTTCCGAGGTGGGAAGAATATGTTAATCTTACATATAGGGGTGACATCACACTTCAAAGACTGATATTTTTTATGTCATAACACGGCAAGTGTGATGTTATTTCAATCTATTTGGCTGAATTTTGTTTTCAGTTGAAGTAATTTTTCTTCAATTATTGCAGTATTACTTATAATTTGAAATATATATATTATATATTCTGTCACCTTGTGACGTCTACACCTCTTGATAAATTAAAGTGGTAAGCCATGTAAGAAAATCTTACTGTATGTAAATTATGTACAGAAGGATAGAAATGTCTTGGTTACATATATATATATAATTTAGGTTAAAAAGCCTTGGTTTTTGTTCCAAATTCTAAGCACAGGTTGGACATTTTTATCCACATCTATATATATATTATAAAACAGAGAAAAAAATACTTACGGACGAAGAAAAATATATAAAGAAAAAATCTCAAAAACACATCTTTAGTACTTTCATCTCTTCAAGGAGATTCTTCAGACTGTAGAATCTCCCCGAAGAGATGAAAGTACTAAAGACGTGTTGTTGAGATTTTTTCTTCTTATATTAAATAAATATATAATATATATGTGATAGAATCATATGTAACACTGATGTATAATATAAATTCATGTACAATTGTATGTATCTTGTAGGTTTGACCACATCAGAAATCAAATGGATTGAATACGAAGAGGAAACACCTGTTATGGACAAACTCAAGGTATCATATAAAGGCAATTATATATTGTTCTTGAGATCGAAGAACCAGTTGAATTTACTGTCAAAAAGAAAAACATAGTCTTGCAGCTTTCTATATATGCATATATATTTTTTATAAATCAAAGCACTCTCATACACTGTGCGTATATACTCTCTTAAACTCAGACTATTAATTATATATAATAATAAATAAAATATGTTTTGCAGTTTGACATGTTTTATTAAAACAAACATGAAAATGTTTTTTAATGCTCATCTAGTTTGGACATGTTATGGTATATATACTGGTATACATGTAATAGTCCATATGCCTGTTTGTTCACCATCAATATCTGTCGGAGAAGAAATTCATATTAAAAATGTGCCTTGTGACCATAACAACAACAATATATTCCGTCTTTGCGTATTGCAGAGTTATCTTCTCTTGGGAGCAGGTATTGATTGTTACGTCATTGGTTTGTGTGAGAAAATTACGTCGTTTTCTCAAAAATTGATGACATTACTCTCACAAACAAGTGACGTAACAATCAATACCTGCTCCCAAGAGAAGATAACTCTGCAATACGCAAAGACGGAATATTAATGATGTAATAAAGTACATATTCCATTGATGTCACAAAAAAGATAGCTGCTTTGGCAGAAAAAATCAACAATAGCTTGTACTGATCATGACATCTTAATTATTAACTTCTTGCAGGGTAAAATTATTATAAACTGTACAGTGATTTTTTAAGGTCAATTTGAGGTACTGCTTTACAATATGTTTACGTACACATGTCCTTGACAATTTTAGCGTAAATACTTTTTAATATAAATTCAATCCAGAAAGAAATAGCATAGCTATGATTGTATTAATATGTTAAATGATTAATTTGACTTTTAGAGTACATATTTTTGTTACCGTCTCTTCTTGATAGGCTCTATTAGAGATCCTGAAGCACGGGGATGCTAGCCAGCTTGCAAACTCGGATGATGAGCAGAATGATGAAGAATTCAACAACGTGATGGACACTCTTGTGTTTCACGAGCGTAAGGACTTGGACTTCACAGACCATCTCTGGACAGTCCTGTACAAGTGTTCCTCCTACTCGGAACTTGTGGAATGTTTCAAATATGTGTTCACAGTGCTGAGCAATGGAGAACTTCGACCAATGGTTCATCGTAATAATAATACCACTGTGGCACAGATGGTAAGGGATTCCTACATGGGTAAGCTTCGCATGCCTAACCTGGCAGGAGTGTATGCCCTGCAGCTGTTGGCTGAAATAGGTGCAGAAAAACTTCACCAAGATTACCTCTTCACATTTCTGGCGAAGGAGCTTGTCACCCACAGCAATCTCGAAGACTTTCTCAAAACAGATGTTAAGTTGGAACAAAAACTCATCAATCTGGAGAAAATGCATCATGTGTTAGAAATGGTTGTAATGCTGAAGTTGTTTCTAAACCTCCCAAGTCTTAACCTGGCCATCTGTGCACGAGCTATGTTGGCACACTACCAACAAGAGGACATCTCTCCAAGCCATGTGTTTGCCTTCCCCATGCTGACCCCCTCATTGAAGCATGCGTTTGAGACCTGCCAGCCATGCATGAAACAAATGGTGCTAGCCAAGATGGTGGGAGACATGAAGGAGTCCGTACACCACTTGTTGGTGACACATCAACCATTCCACCACCTACCGGCCAGTGTCGACCCAGAGGTACTCATGGACACTACTGTCAACAAGAACAAGAAATACTTCTATGTCAGAAAGAATGAAAGCATTTCTATTCTTATATGAATTTCCTAATAAGTTGATGACCATAAAACACAACGAATGGTTTGTACATATGTATATATACACTAGTATATGTAGTATATATACTTTTAGAAGTGATTATCATAATTAAGTGCTTTTTGTGTTGTCCGTGTCATTAAGCACACACTTCAGCACAATAACTACATGTTTCTGTTAACAGTTGTATTTTATACTGAACAGTGATAATGTTATAACATACCATCTGGTACTGTAGGTACAAAACCTATCTCTCTATACCAATTTCAGCACACGCTGTACATGTATGCTACTGATCATAGTAGTAGGGATGATGTAAAACTTTTCTTACCCAAGCTTTATATATTTGGGACAAGAAGTTAAGTGCATAGAAAGCAAGCAGAGATGGCAGATTTAAGAAGCAAAACTAGACTTCGTCTGTGAAACATGGTGTCCGAACAAAAATAACTTATTCCAAATATGAGGAAATACTGTAGATTTTAATTTGATACAATCAAACATCAACTCAGTGCAGACATTTCATGACTTAATACTTGTGTTAATTTAAGTAGTGTGTTATACCAGTAAAACAAAGGTTATCTTCATATCCTGATATATATAACAGCGCGGACATCCAGAACATCTGCATCTTGTATATGGAGGCATTGTCCTTGCAGGTTTTTTTTCTCCCACTGAAATTCTTCTGAACAAAATTTCCATTATACTCGGTTATTAACATATTAAACTGACAAATGAGCTTACCAAGATCCGCCAAAGTTTGCTTTTCACATAACAAATAAACAGGCTGTTTGGATCCCCCTGAACCTTTGACTACAAAACTAAATGTAATATCTTCTATTTATGATGCAAACCACTTGTACTTAAATAATATTATCCTTATGGGTGTTACAATATGCATCGAGTGTACATGTATCCAAATATTAAGCAATACAGAAGGAATTTGTTGTGATATGCATCCAGATATATTGTAAAAAAAAAAGGGCTGAATGTTATTTTATTTTTGTATTGAGACACAGATACAATATGCCTGTGTATTGCAATTTAGCAGTTTTCTGATATATTGTGACAGCCCATCTTATTGTACTGTACATCTCCCAAAGATGTTTCCTGTACAGTTGTCAACATGTTCTGTAGATAAACGTTGACAATTGTAATGTCTTAAATAGATTACTGAAAAGTCATCAGACACTATGAAATTACATAGCTCCTATATGTCGTGATGCTATGAGTATGATATATGCTATCAGTAAATAAATGGTTAAACTATATACGTATCTGTTGTTTGTTGTTGCTAACATCAATAAGTTCTACTCTTCTTGTCCCGTTGTTGCTGAGGTGTGACTAGGGACAGTAATCTAGAACTGCTTATATACAGCCATCACTTAATTAGAACCATACTTGCTATATAGTTTAGTTGATGTTCACCAAGACAATTATTACTTGAGACTTTTCATTATAAGGACAAAAGAGTTATGATGATCGATGAGAGTCAGAGTCTATGACAGTCAAGGTCACTTCGTTTTATTTCTTTTAACATCAATAAAAGAATGACCAAACACTATAATTTATTTTGAGTTGCACTTTATTGTAGCTTTGTGAAACATCGATTTTTCTTGAAGTGGTGAATGAAAGATGAACACTATATATATATAAACACAGTTGTTAACCAAACTTTAAGAAAAAAGCTTATAACTTTTGAAGGCTAAATTTTAAGACCAGAGTCAAAGGTCACCTATATAAAGAGTTTATATCAAATGCTCAAGGTATCCAAGGTCAAATGTTTTTGTTGTCCAATATTTGTCTGGACTTTTAACTTCTGATTGGTTACAGATTACTAAGTTTGATGAATTTTCACACAAATATCTTTATGACACTGTACAATGTGTTATCCCCTTGTTGCAGATATATTGATGTACATTGTATATATATCTATTGGGGTCGAATACCTTTTTCATGTCTCGGGTACAATACAGAAAAGAAAGTAACCCAGTGCAAGTAAGATTGGGTTTATTAAAAAAAAGAAAAATATATTTATTTGATCACATTGGATACAAAAATTAGGGCTTGTTTTGGGTGCTGAAATTCTAGTGGAAATTCCCAAAACACCAAAACAACTTGATATATATTTTGTTTACAAGCTTTCAATTTATCTTGTACAATATAACATCTAAAATACAAGAGGCCCTTTGGGCCTGTATTACTGGTGGCAATATATTCTCAATAAAAGTAGTATGACATATAAGATTCCAGAGATAAATGAAGACCAAGACAAATCCTATATATGTTGTTATATGAGGAGATCTTGACCATTTCAAAGTTATTAACCAAGTTGGTAAAGGTGTGGCCAGTTCCCAGATTCCAATATCATGATTGTGTTGTCGCTTGATTCCCAGCAACTGTATATATGGTTATGGGGTGGGGAACTTGACTTTTTCGAAGTAATGAACCAACTCCCAAACAATGTGGCCAGCCCTAAGCATCAAATCTAATGTTTGTCTCTTAATGCCTAGCAATTTTATATGTAGTTATGGGGTAGGGATCTCGACTGTTTCTAAGTTGTGACCCTGTAACTAAGCCCCAAGGGGTGGGTTCAGACCCCAGGGTCAAGCTAATATAATGATCATTGTATTCATCTCTTTGTGCCAAGCAATTTCATACATGTATTTGCTTATTGGGTAAGAATGTCAACTGTTTCAAAGTTATGACCCAGGAACTAAGTCCCTATGGGCATGGGTCAATTCTAATAATAAATATTATTGTCTCTTTATGCCAAGCTATTGAATATATATAGTTATGTGGTGGGGATCTCAACCATTTCTAAATTGCTTGGGACCAAGAAACCTCAGGGTACCGGTGGGGCCATCCTGATAGCATGTGTATTAATCACTTTATACTCATATATTGTATATATGGTTAAAGGATGAAGATCTAATCATTTCCTAGTTAGAAACTCTTTGGACCAGGTGAGCAAAAATTATGATTGACAAATAAGAATGTTTTGGTTGATATTTTGTTAAGATTCGGCCTTACAAGGCCAGAACATGGGCCATTTAACGATGAATAAAGAGTAAATGATTGGTAAACCATTGTTGCATCTTAGTCATCACTGATGAACACCGAGTTGATACAACAATTGTCCTAATTCACCCACAAAATGTCCAGGCAGTATATTAACTATATCACTTTGATCACAGCTTCACAGGGTACAACAGTTCTACTTGATATAAGTGCTGTGTGTCCCAGCTTCTTCACATTGCAATGGCCATATTGTGTTGACTCCATATCTAGAAAATTGAAGAAAGAAAAGAAATGTTACAAGGACAACGAAAAGATGGACATTATTACACTTAATGTATTCATGTCAATTTGCTCATTATTTTGATTTATTTTTGTAATTTCATTGCACAGCAAGAAAGCTGTTAATGCACCAATCTGTAATTATTAGCCAGCATGGAATACATCATTCAACACTATACAATAAATCATATTCATGTCTTGGTAAAAAAAAAAACAAAAAAAACCCACCCAAATTTTAAATTCAGTTTAAAAAGTGCTCAAATAAAATTACTGATAAAATACATGTATGTATATTTCCTGTTTACATTTCAGAAAATAGATGTCTTTTACCAGGATAATTCAATTTTCAGCTCACTTGGCATTAAAAAGCATATCATGCTACAGAGTGTATATGTAAAGCATGTCACCCATATTATTGTTTTGGGGGGAGAGGCTATTAGGTTTATTGAATAAAGGACCTTGAAACACAAAACACAATGAAGATAGAAGGGGTCCACTGAAAGTACTGCACCAAGTTGAATGAAATTTGGTACACAGAACCCTTACATTGAGGGGCTATTAATAATATAAATAAATTGCTGTTACAGCTAGGGATATCAATTAAGTATATAAATTGGAGTTACATATCCCCTATCAGAAAGAAACACCCCTTTGTTTTAAACATTGATCGAAATACTACTCCCAGAACTGCACCAAATTAAATTATGCTTAGTATAGGCAACATTTGTATTGAGAGAATATAAATGAAGTATATACATTGGAGTTATTGCCCCTGATTATTGAGTTGTGTCAATGTGTTTACTCAAAATTGTAATTAAAGATATATAAAATACCTTCATGGCTGCCCTGTGAACTATCGTGTGTTTCCTTGACAAGACATCTAGGTCTCGCTGATAACCTCCTCCTATCACAGTTGCTATGGGGATGCCAAGGTTTAAGGCTGTACTAATTACAAAGCTGTCTCTATCAAATAATCCTGAAAATTAGAAAATAGGGCTGTTAAGTACTCACTCTGATCAGGCAGAATTTGGTCAGATTTTATAAATAGATGTAAATCATTTTGTACCAACACCTATAAGACATATTGGTTTTGATAATCACAACAGACACTTGCATGGGTCCTCATTCAAATCAAACACATTGGTTTTGGTACGCTCTCCAATCAATCCCCAATGCTCCATGTGTAACACTCTCTGTGCCTTTGGATTATGTGATGACAGAATGGAAGGCTCAGTGTGTGCCACCTTGTGGATGATACAAGTAGACTAGTCTCATTCTTTGATGCAATCTTCAAAGAGCAGGTACCAGCCAAATGATTAGTCAACTTATTTTAATAACGACCCATCAAATCTTTGTGCCTTCAATTTTGTCATGACATATTCTAGGGGTGCAGGGAGCCTGCATGAGCATAACCCTTGGATTATTGAAGATGTCTCCAATCACACACATTGGTTTTGGTACTAACTCTAATCACACATGGTTTTGGTACTCGCTTAAATCAAACACAGTTTTGGAACTCACTCCAATCAAACAAGGTTTTGGTACTCACTCCACTCAAACACAGTTTTGGTACTCACTCCAATCAAACACAGTTTTGGTACTCACTCTAATCAAATATGGTTTTGGTACTCACTCCAATCAAACAGGGTTTTGGTACTCACTCCAATCAAACATGGTTTTGGTACTCACTCCAATCAAATATGGTTTTGGTACTCACTCCAATCAAACATGGTTTTGGTACTCACTTCAATCAAACATGGTTTTGGTACTCACTCCAATCAAACAAGGTTTATGGTATTAATTATGATCAGATACATTGATATTGGTACTTACTTCAATCGGACACATTCGTATTGGTACTTACAACTGTACCTTGAAACGCCCTTAAATGGCATTTGCTGTTGATGGGAAGTTAAACCTTTACAACCAACTTACCTTGATCAGAGAGATTCAATTTTCCTAACTCGTCCTTCACATGTGGATCAACGCCAGCATCGAACAATATGAGGTTGGGACGAAAGCTATTAATCACCCAAGGAAGATGTGTGGATAAACTCTCCAGGAATTCTTCATCCTACATGACCACAAATAAGTACATGTTAATCAATTTAGTTTTAGACATCTGTAGAATTAAATAAAGTTCATCTAATAACTGGTTTGTAGAAAAGCATGCACTCTCATCCCATTACATACACGCAGAAAATGTGTGCATGGCAATGGACAACAGAGTGAAATCTCATTAGTGGTCATACATACATCAAATTCATTGCGTTAATATTAAGTGGTAAAGAAGGCGATGAGAATATCTAACTACATCGAGCTTGACTTAAGACACCTGATATACAGTTTACCTGTGTTCCTGGATCCAGTTCTATGTCTAAGTCACTCAATTGTTTTCTGTGAGGAAAGTTTTTACCACAATGCATAGAAAATGTAAACACATCATCATTGTGTTGAAACATTACTGCTGTACCATCACCCTGTAAGAAAAAACAAAGATACCTGGTGAGTAAAACTACATAAAATATTAATCCAAATCAAACTGTCTCTGAATGAAACTAAATAAAGGTCATTTATCGTTAATGATACCACCCGTAGATTTGCAGAATTCCATGATTGATCCAATTTGTTCCATGTCATCACAACTTAACAAGAAAAAACATGACAATATCATAAAACTCAATACAAAGACAAAAATGAGAGTGGTTCTGTTGTGCATATAAACAATTCACGAAAGAGACCAAAGTCTAAATACCAGTGAGATGATGACAGTTTACATTACTGGCACATGTCACTGATGATGGTAATACACGTATTGTTACCTGATGGACATCTAAATCAACGATAAGGACCTTGTCCACCATTTTATCCCTGATCAAGGTCGCAGCAACAATGGCAAGGTCATTGATAAGGCAGTAACCAGACCCATATTCAGGGAATGCATGATGGGTTCCTCCCCCTGTGCTACAGGCCACGCCCCTTTCCAGAGCCAATTTTGCAGCTAATAGTGTCCCACCTTCAAATAGAGGCATTTAAATTTAACACATTTGATAAAAAGGTAACCCAGTCAAAACTTCAAATCAAGTATGTTTTGTTGTGTATTATTGTAAAAAGATATTTCTATATTGCCTACGGCTTCATTCATAAAAAGTGTCCTTGAGTTAAGGAATTTGTTTAACTGAAGCAATTTCTTTTAGTTAAGGAATGTTGGTGAAACTAGGATACAAAAGTACATAAAACAATGTTATATGTCTAACACTGAACTATTCAACTTTAGATTTCTAAAGTTGTCATTTTGACCAGTCCTAAAATCGTAACTAGAAAATTCATAAATCACTAATTTCCAGATAATCCTTAGCAAATATACCTTGGTACAATATACAAAAAGCATACATAATATTGCAAAAAGAACATTGAATGATCACTTCTTGAAATCTATCACATGTCAATTATGACATCAAAGAAATTACTAACCAACAAAAATCATCCGTTGTCATAAAGCTAAGATAAAAAATAGTTCTTTGGACATCAAAATAACATTGTGTGATCTAATGAGCCTATGTAATAACCTTTTTCATAAGTCCCATATAAACAAGCTTGAGACCAGAGAGATAATAATCAACCATTATTGAAGTATTGGCCTATTTGGCCAAGGATCCTTATGTAAATAACTTTTCACTATCTTTCTCCTTACATTCACTCTGTCAACCCCCTCATGTTCTAAATGTTTGGCTTGTGCTTGAGAGTTGGTTGCTGATAGGAAACTTAAAATTAAACTATCAAATTATTTTTTCAAATACTGGATCTGTCCAAGGTACCTGTTTCATATCTACATCGACTGACCAGACCTGGATTCCACTCAAACCCTGTGATTCGCTGTTCCTGCTTTGTTGTCAAGCCGTTCAAGAACTTGTGTACATAATCCTCTGTGTGTACGGTACACATGTCAGCTGTCTCAATCCAGGTAGGCTCCACCATTTGCTTGGCCGATATAACATTGTCTTTCCTCAAATATCTCATCACTCCATGGAACTTCCTCATAGCAAACCTGTGCTTGATTGGTAGGTCACTCACGTAGCCATGGTGATGAACTATGGGCAGGCCCACGATCTCCGATCTTTTTACCTGAGACAAAAAAAAAATTTGAAATTAAAACATACTTTAAAAATGCAAAAAAAAGAGTGCTTGACATTTATGATCTGCAGCAGCAGCAATTATTTGTTATTCCTCAAATTCATACTTCAAATGGTGAATATTTTTATGCTTTATTGCAATAAAAAGGGCAGAAATTGGACATTAGCTGAAAATATTACTGTCTGTTGGAGTATATAATACAGCAGTTTCATGTTTTATCTATAACTATTTAAAGAGGTTGAGTTTTAGCAAGGTGTCGTAATAAACTACTGATTATCTGGAAGTCCCACAATAAGCAAGCCGTCTTTTACAACTGGAGTACCAATTTAAAAGGTTTAACAGTTAACAAGCTTTCCTCCACTAATGATTATGTGGAAGTTCCACAATCAGCAAGCTTTTCCTCGTTATTGCAGTACCTATTACAGGTTACTCCATCAGAACCAAGTGTTTCCTCTCTATCAGACCACATATCAGAGGCTACTCCATCAGAACCAAGTGTTTCCTCTCTATCAGACCAAATATCAGAGGTTACTCCATCAGAACCAAGTGTTTCCTCTCTATCACACCACATATCAGAGGCTACTCCATCAGACCCAAGTGTTTCCTCTCTATCAGACCACATATCAGAGGTTACTCCATCAGAACCAAGTGTTTCCTCTCTATCAGACCACATATCAGAGGGTACTCCATCAGAACCAAGTGTTTCCTCTCTATCACACCATATATCAGAGGCTACTCCATCAGAACCAAGTGTTTCCTCTCTATCAGACCAAATATCAGAGGCTACTCCATCAGAACCAAGGGGTTCCTCTCTATCAGACCACATATCAGAGGTTACTCCATCAGAACCAAGTGTTTCCTCTCTATCAGACCATATATCAGAGGCTACTCCATCAGCACCAAGTGTTTCCTCTCTATCACACCATATATCAGAGGCTACTCTATCAGAACCAAGTGTTTCCTCTCTATCACACCATATATCAGAGGATACTCCATGAGAACCAAGTGTTTCCTCTCTATCAGACCACATATCAGAGGTTACTCCATGAGAACTAAGTGTTTCCTCTCTATCAGACCACATATCAGAGGCTACTCCATCAGAACCAAGTGTTTCCTCTCTATCAGACCACATATCAGAGGTGACTCCATCAGAACCAAGTGTTTCCTCTCTATCACACGAAATATCAGAGGTTACTCCATTAGAACCAAGTGTTTCCTGTCTATCACACCAAATATCAGAGGTTAGTCCATCAGAACCAAGTGTTTCCTCTATATCACACCACATATCAGAGGTTACTCCATCAGAACCAAGGGTTTCCTCTCTATCACACCACATATCAGAGGTTACTCCATGAGAACCAGGTGTTTCCTCTCTATCAGACCATATATCAGAGGCTACTCCATCAGCACCAAGTGTTTCCTCTCTATCACACCATATATCAGAGGATACTCCATGAGAACCAAGTGTTTCCTCTCTATCAGACCACATATCAGAGGTTACTCCATCAGAACCACGTGTTTCCTCTCTATCACACCATATATCAGAGGATACTCCATGAGAACCAAGTGTTTCCTCTCTATCAGACCATATATCAGAGGTTACTCCATCAGAACCAAGTGTTTCCTCGCTATCTGACCATATATCAGAGGTTACTCCATCAGAACCAAGTGTTTCCTCTCTATCACACCAAATATCAGAGGTTACTCCATTAGAACCAAGTGTTTCCTGTCTATCACACCAAATATCAGAGGTTAGTCCATCAGAACCAAGTGTTTCCTCTCTATCACACCACATATCAGAGGTTACTCCATCAGAACCAAGTGTTTCCTCTCTATCACACCACATATCAGAGGCTACTCCATCAGAACCAAGTGTTTCCTCGCTATCAGACCACATATCAGAGGTTACTCTATCAGAACCAAGTGTTTCCTTGCTATCAGACCACATATCAGAGGTTACTCCATCAGAACCAAGTGTTTCCTTTCTATCACACCATATATCAGAGGTTACTCCATCAGAACCAAGTGTTTCCTTGCTATCACACCACATATCAGAGGTTACTTCATCAGAACCAAGTGTTTCCTCTCTATCACACCACATATCAGAGGGTACTCCATCAGAACCAGGTGTTTCCTCTCTATTCCATCGGAACCAAGTGGTTCCTCTCTATCAGACCATATATCAGAGGCTACTCCAACATAACCAAGTGTTTCCTCGCTATCAGACCGCATATCAGAGGTAAATCTATCAGAACCAAGTGTGTCCTCTCTATCACACAACATATCAGAGGCTACCCCATCAGAACCAAGTTTTTCCTCTCTATCACACAACATATCAGAGGCTACCCCATCAGAACCAAGTCTGTCTCAGACCATTTATCAGAGGCTACTCCATCAGAAACAAGTGTTTCCTCGCTATCTGACCATATATCAGAGGCTTCTCCATCAGAACCAAAAGTTTCCTCTCTATCACACAACATATCAGAGGCTAATCCATCAGAACCAAGTCTGTCTCAGACCATTTATCAGAGGCTACTCCATCAGAACCAAGAGTGTTCTCTCTATCACACAACATATCAGAGGCTACTCCATCAGAAACAAGTGTTTCCTCGCTATCACACCACAGATCAGATGTTACTCCATCAGAATCAAGTGTTTCCTCTCGATCACACCACATATCAGAGATTACTTCATCAGAACCAAGTGCTTCCTCTCTATCACACCGCATATCAGAGGTAAATCTATCAGAACCAAGTTTTTCCTCTCTATCACCCCACATATCAGAGGCAGACCACATATCAGAGGGTACTCCATCAGAACCAAAAGTTTCCTCTCTATCAGACCACGTATCAGAGGCTACTCCAACATAACCAAGTGTTTCCTATCTATCAGACCACATATAGAGGCTACTACATCAGAACCAAGTGGTTCCTCTCTATCAGACCACATATCAGAGGTTACTCCATCAGAACCAAGAGTTTTCTCTCTATCACACCACATATCAGAGGCTACTCCATCATAACCAAGTGTTTCCTTGCTATCAGACCACATATCAGAGGCTACTCCATCAGAACCAAGTGTTTCCTCTCTATCACACCATATATCAGAGGCTACTCCATCAGAACCAAGTGTTTCCTCTCTATCAGACCACATATAGAGGCTACTACATCAGAACCAAGTGTTTCCTTGCTATCAGACCACATATCAGAGGCTACTCCATCAGAACCAAGTGTTTCCTCTCTATCACACCGCATATCAGAGGTAAATCTATCAGAACCAAGTGTTTCCTCGCTATCAGACCACATATCAGAGGTTACTCCATCAGCCAAGTGTTTCCTCTCTATCACACCGCATATCAGAGGCAAATCTATCAGAACCAAGTGTTGCCTCTCTATCACACCACATATCAGTGTTTCCTGTCTATCACACCAAATATCAGAGGTTACTCCATCATCAGAGGTTACTCCATCATCAGAGGTTACTCCATCATCAGAGGTTACTCCATCATCAGAGGTTACTCCATCATCAGAGGTTACTCCATCAGCCAAGTGTTTCCTCTCTATCAGACCATATATCAGAGGTTACTCCATCAGCCAAGTGTTTCCTCTCTATCAGACCACATATAGAGGCTACTACATCAGAACCAAGTGTTTCTCTATCACACCAAATATCAGAGGCTACTCCATCAGAACCAAGGGTTTCCTCTCTATCACACCATATATCAGAGGCTACTCCATCAGGACCAAGTGTTTCCTCTCTATCACCCCACATATCAGAGGTTTCTCCATCAGACCCCAAGAGTTTCCTCTCTATCACACCACATATCAGAGGTTACTCCATCAGTACCAAGTGTTGCCTTTCTATCAGACCACATATCAGAGGTTACTCCATCAGAACCAAGAGTTTCCTCTCTATCACACCACATATCAGAGGTTACTCCATCAGAACCAAGTGTTTCCTCTCTATCAGACCACATATCAGAGGCTACTCCATCAGAACCAAGTGTTTCCTCTCTATCAGACCACAATTATCAGAGGTTACTCTATCAGAACCAAGTGTTTCCTCTCTATCAGACCACATACATGTATCAGAGGCTACTCCATCAGAAACAAGTGTTTCCTCGCTATCAGACCACAGATCAGAGGTTATATATATACTCCATCAGAACCAAGTGTTTCCTTTACCTTTTACATTGGTTCCACTGCATACAAGTACCTACAAGAAATTCCTATGGGTGAATATTGATGAAGTTAGAATATGCTTTAGTAGTATAGTTGGATACCTATACATTTTAAACCTTTTTTTTATACCTTGTGGATGTAATCCATGTCCTGATGATCCGTGATATTTAGAGTTGATAGCCATTTTTTCCATGTCTGTTTTGATCTCCTCAGTATCGAATATGATCCCCGCCAAGTCGTTTTGGGGTACAGCATGGTCACTTGTTGGAAAGGTTGAACTGAAAGTCACAAATTACAAGATCAACATTTTAATTCTGCAGTCATGATCAGTTCCTATGGCAACAAACGTCAAAATAAATATAGGCAACTATAAATGTACAGGTCTATATCAACATACTCGTACTTCAGCACTTAGTCATAAATTACATGTACTGCATTTTGAAGATGGTACAAGTGTCCCTAAAATAGAATTACCACAAAAATAATCAATTTTTTCAATGCCTTAATTTTATGCTGGCAATATTTATTATTGCACGATCAAAAAAGGATTTAAATCCAGTATGAACTCTAGATGGACACTCAAACCAACTGAGCTACGTAAACCTCAGTCTGTAAATCATAAATGACCAAGTCCAGTTCCACCACAGAATTATTTTGAGGTGACCGCAATTACTGATGTCAAAGGAGAAATCTTTTCAATTACGAGTACATATAGATGAACAAGCGGATGTGTGTAGCATATCGCATGAACTTTTAAATAACACCAAGAAAAATAACCTATCAATTAAATTTGTATAATGGAGATTTCGTTATAATTGATGGTCAATTATCAGATTATTAAGCTATAAATTGATCATTTGATAATGATTGAATAATGATAATTGATGGTTATATTAAGTTATAAATTGATCATTTGATGGTAATTCACATTCTTGAAAATTTGACATTCATCTATTAATAATAATTCAAGATATTTAATCAGGGATGTGTATACAGTTCACTATACACATCCCTGATTTAATTGGAGTTGGCTGCGTCATGTCCAAATATATAAGGGCCAGAAACTCCAAAAAGTATGGTCCTTTTTTATAGTGATTATGGAACTGTCAAAGCTGTCACGATTCAAGACATTGAGCAGTCATTGCACTCCCAATCCACAAAGAATTCTACTAATTAACTTATGGTCAAATAAAGATTGCTTACACTGTCATCAAATCTATGTACATATGTGAGAGTTATCTGTCCTTGTCACGGCCGGAAGTTGTTGATTTTGTGATATGCAGCCAAGACGTGCTGCCTAGTTAGAAACTTATCTGACCTAGGCCTACATGATGTGTGGTTTGTAAAAAAAACCATGTGAAGTACCTCACTGCAATTAAGCTCTACTTAGTTAGACTTAAAAAGTTAAGCGACGAAAGACACAAGTTTGAAAACGCACTGAGCATTGAAGTTCTGGCACACACCGCCCTGCACAGAGTGAGTACCTGTAAGTTAGGCTACAGCTGTATCTTAAAGGATTACTGTAATAGTTATAAATTATTCAGATACATAAATCTTATTATTTCAATGACTGAGACGACTCAGAAAAAAATATCTTTTTTTTTTGTAACAGAAAAAAACGATAAAGTTGCATTTTACTATAGTTAAAATTATATTCTTGATACAGTAGTGTTTTCTTCTTCTTCTTCTTCTTGTCAAGAGTTGGGGTTCCTTATAGAACACAGCAGCTCTGTGGGACTTTTAACAACGCACCGTGAACATAACAGTTTGTTATATGTATATATTTGAAGTGAGCTGAGAAAATGTTGGCACTGCGGTTGGCCTTTTCCAAAGGCATTAGTGATGTTCCACTGCTGAGGATATCGTCTCGGAATTACGAAGGTAATCAAACATACTTGTACTGTAAGACTAGTACTCAACAAGTCCCTTTAAAGAGCAGTTAAGTCTTTAGACTCAACAAGCCCCCTTGAACAGAGCAGTAAAAGACTGATTTATTGCTAAAAATGTTCACCAGACTTATATGATGTCAATTCTCGTTTGCGACCAAACTGAATGATACAAAATGACATATATTGTCTAAAATTCATTATATACCTACATTGTATATCTAGCTAGGTCATGCAGAGCTTATTTTCTCTTTTACTAGCTGTGGAGATACCAAAAAAATATGCTGACCAACCGGTTTAAGATACTGCCATTCGAAACCACTGAAATCATAAAAAATGAAGGCCAATTAAGAAACCCAGATTAATAAATGAACTTGAGATGCATGTCATTTTGTATAGATAAATAAATATATAATATCTTTGATATAATAAATGCGCTAAACATGTTACAAACATAATAAATTAAAAGTGGCTTATAATAAGACCAAAAAAAATATAGTCTGTTTATGGACAAAAAAAAACAAGGGTAGGTAGCTGGTCAGATTTATTTTTCATATTTTATGTACCGTGTGGTCATGTGATTATGACCCTACTATTGTATGTAAAACAAAGAATTACATCAGTGGAGTTCATTTGGAGGCAAATTGTTCTCCATATGATGACATTTAGCACCAATACGGAGCTGGAAGCCATTTTGAAAAGCAAGGAACCTTCTAAAATTATAAAATCAGTGGTTTTTTTTTTTTAAAGTTTGTTTTTTGCTGTTGTAAGTTTTGGGTCGGGGGTAAAAAGCTAGGCCTAGAGTTAGTCGGGAACCCTAAACAGACTTTTTTTTTTTTTTTGGCCAAAGTAACCCAGGCAACAAATAAACGTGAGCGATTGGTTCTTTTGAATGGTTTAATTATTTACAAAAGACCTACAAATACATGATATGTGCATGCATGAACACTTATAAACAATACATAACTCGCCCACAATGACCAATTCAATAGTATGAATTATATATGAAATGAAAAAAAGTAGACATATTTATGCACTCACAGTAACTTACCAGGAAATGGAACAATGATCAGTGATGGAATAGCGTTTCGTAGGTGATACCTTCATTTAGGAGGGTGGTATTCAAATTCTATGAGGAAAGTTTGTGTAGGGAATAACAGGTGCTTAGCATGCACACACACTCACCCATCACCCAATCAGATAAGTTCTCTCACATATATATATGTAGTGATGCAATATGTAGATTTATCGGGGTTTGGGATTTTTAGGTGACAATACCTATCTTTAAGGGGGCTTGTTGAACCTCAAACAGGTTTGGCACAACCCCCTCATATGGGCATTGCCATTGTAATGATCAGATCTATTTCTCTTACATTTAAAGAACTGTACTAGTAAATATGTGAAACGGTGCATTTACTGCTGACATTACTTGATCAAACAGATAAGAGAAAAAAAGAGAAAAGATCAAACGGACATAGAACTAATGAAGACGGTACAATGGTGGGCACCAAGATCCCTGATCTGGGATCTCTTGTCAAATGATGTGTTGGTAATACTTTCAAAAGCTTGGCTAGTGTGATGTTCCTTTGACTAAGTAACTGTGCATACAAATCCTGTTTCTGCCTTATGCTTGCTATTTGCTTAGTGTCATGTCTTTTTGTTGATTTATTCACAAGGTTGTCTGATTAGGCGCTATCTCGGTTTACCCACCCGGTGTCCGCAGACGTTGAAGAAGGGACACAGAGGAGTTATAAGCATTCCTTCTGTTCGATCGCAAACAGATGGTACCTCGAAAAATGGCGTGAATGAATCAAAACAGGAGTACAGAAAAACAGGCACATCAACTACAGAAGTAAATGATATAGACACAACAACAAACTTAGATAAGGAATCATTATCTTCTACAAATGATGATGGTAAGGTTACCACTGAGAAGGTGTGGTGTACATGTAGTATATGTAGATAAATTGATTCTAAAACCATATACAAATGTATATTATACATTAAAACCAATTCTTTGGAATAGGAGGTCATTTTTATGCGCCCGTCAAATTTGATGGAATATTATGGTATGGCGTCCGCTGGCCGGCCCCGGCGTAAACTTATACATTATAATCATGATATGAAGTTGTGTCTCCCTTAATAGAATTTAGATTCGACAACTTTTCAAAAGTTATTGCCCTTTGTTCATCTCAGTATTTGATTTTTTTGTCAAGAGATCTCCTACATTTTTTGACGGATTTCTTTGAAACTTAATAGGCTAAAAACTCATGATATGTTGTTGTGTTTCCTTGAAAAGAATTTTGATTCGATAATTTTTCCAAAAGTTATTGCCCTTTGTTTATTTCAGTATTTGATTTTTGTCCGGCAATCTCCTCCTTCATTTTCCAACAGATCTCTTTGAAACTTAATATACATTATAATCATGATATGAAGTTGTGTCTTCCTTGAAAGAAGATTGATTCAACGATTTTTCAAAAGTTATTGCCCTTTGTTCATTTCAGTATTTTATTTTTTTGTCCGGAGATCTCCTACATTTTTTGACGGATTTCTTTGAAACTTAATAGGCTAAAAACTCATGATATGTTGTTGTGTTTCCTTGAAAAGAATTTTGATTCGATAATTTTTCCAAAAGTTGTTGCCCTTTGTTTATTTCAGTATTTGATTTTTGTCCGGCAATCTTCTTCTTCATTTTCCAACGGATCTCTTTGAAACTTAATATACATTATAATCATGATATGAAGTTGTGTCTTCCTTGAAAGAAGATTGATTCAACGATTTTTCAAAAGTTATTGCCCTTTGTTCATTTCAGTATTTTATTTTTTGTCTGTAGATTTTCTCCTACATTTTTTATAGCATGTCAGCTAACCACTCTTAGAATGATGCAGATCTTATTTCAATATGAGAAAGTTGTTCAGTCCCACAGTACTCTTGTTTAAATAGCTTCAAGCACTTTTAATATCAAAGAATTTGAAGATGATGACACTCATAAAATATGTAAAGTAGTACTTAAGTAGCTGGCAACAAACAGCCAACTACCTGGTGAAATAACCTTGGGTGCCAGCTGTTAGTGAGAACAAGGCCCAATAGGGAAATTCGGTCATGATATAACTTAACACCCTTGATTGGATTTCCATTAGTCCATCTCCATCCCAAGGGACTTGGGTCCCATGTGATAACAATGAATTGGATGTGACTCTTTCTAATCTACCTTAAGCTTATATTTATATGCAATTGCTGATCACAAAAAGAAGCCAGATTGGGCCCTGCTCTGCCCCTGGAAAATCAATTCAATTTTGTAAATTATAACTTCAATATGACATTTGTCTCATCACTTTTTAGCCCACCTTCATCTGATGGTGGGCTTTTCAAATCACCCTGCGTCCGTGGTCCATCCGTAAACAATTCTTGTTATCGATATTTCTCAAGAAGTACCAGAGGGATCTTTCTCAAATTTAATATGTAGGTTGCCCTTGGTCCATAGCTGTGCAGGGCAACTTTTGAGACTGATCGGATAAACAACATGGCCGACAAGCAGCCATCTTTGATTTTGTTAGTGAAGATTTGTTACCGTTATTTCTCCGGAAGTACCAGAGGGATCTTAAATTTTATATGAAGGTTCCCCTCAGATTTTCTATATTAATACGGCCAGGGAGTCTTCTTTGAGGTGCAAGTTTTGTGTATTTCTTTGGGAAATATACTAAAGACATGTATGGAGCGGATCATGTCAGGTTTTAACTAGGGTTGAAGAATTAAAAATATAATGTTTTATTCTGTTTTACATATTACAAACATTGTCCTGTAATGTGCTAAGCATTGTGTTAAATGCTGTGGAAGTATTTCTTCCCAAAATTATTTGGGCCACCAATATGTCATTTGGGACAGTGCTTCAAATTTTTTACCCGCCTAAAAAAAAAATTTGGCCAGCCAATGCAGGTTCCCTACCATCCTTTATTGTTCATGTTTACTTTTGAAACTGATCAGTTAAACAAAATGGCCTACCGACAGCCATCTTCAAGTTTTGACATTGAAAGTTTGTTTGTACTATTTCTCAGGAATAACTTGAGGGATCTTTCTCAAATTTGATATGTAGGTTCCCCCTGATCCCTCGTTGTGCATGTTATATTTTGAGACTGATCATAAAAACAAAATGGCTAAAGAAAGAACTAAACAGATAATTCTCATATTGCAATGATCAAATCTATTTCTTTCACATTAAGTACTGTACTAGTAATTATGTGAAATGACAAACTCACTTTGAAGGTTGGCTTTCATACACATCAGTATTGAGTTTAGATCAAAAGTTACCTCGAGGTGAATTTACTGTTAACATGACCCTATCAAACAGATTAGAGAAAAGAAGAGTAAAGATCGAACTGACAAAGAACTAATGAAGATGGTACAATGGTGGGTGCCAAGATCCCCTGGGATCTCTTGTTTATGTAGCCGTTCAAAACTTTGGATATTAACTTTGATCTTTCTTACAGATGGAAAATTGGTTATTTCATTTGATTACCAAGCGGGTATACCATTACATCATCAACTGAAAAAGTGCATGGAAGATAAAACACTGACAATAATCCATACCAAAGGAAAGGAGGTTGACATGGATGATCCAAAGTTCTCCTGGCCTTTCAAACCTAAACGAAAAGGTACACTATAATGTTTCTACTACTGTACTTCTACTCAATTTACAGTTCGGTAATAATAGTTCATTCACAGTGCAAATTAAAACAGAGAATTTCTACATTTACTGCACAGGACTTTTCATAAATACCACCTGTGAAAAGATAAGTGCTAAATTGGTATAAATTGAATTCATCACTGATAGCTGGTTTTAGTCCAACCACTATGATGAGTATCACCTTTCTTTTCATTTATGCAGGACATTAGATTACATTTCAATTAAGGCAAGATGCTGCAACATGAACAGTTAGATTGAACTTCAGACCCATCCTTTGCTTCAAAAATTCATGCATTGTCAATGTGTTTGAAATTATGAAAATTGATGGGAAGTCATCCTTAATTGAAAACAAATAAAAAGACTGTTGTTTGTTTTGTAGCTAAGAAGCTGTTTAAAGAAGATGAGAAGCTGATAGAAGAAGCACGAGCTCTGGCAGAATATTTGCTCTTACCAAGGTAAATTTGAGACAACAGACCACACTTATTCAATTCATATGAATGACATTGACCCACTTTCAAGGTCACAGGGGTAAAATCTGTCAAAACATAAAAAAAATCTTCTGTATAGGTCAAAAGGCCTAAGTTCATGATCTTTTGCCAGAAACATGGTTTAATAATTTTGGGGAGGGGGGATTAATAGAATCTTCCCCTACCTTGAGGGTGTGACAGAGAAATCTCCAACCCGAGGGGTGATGTTTTTTGGTTGTCTAACCCGAGGCACTGTGTCTAACCTGAGGCACTGCCGAGGGTTAGACAACCAAACAAATCACCCCGAGGGTTGGAAATTTCTCTGTTACACCTTCAAGGTAGGGGATGATTATTTTTCTCCCATCCTATTATTTCAGTCACAGCTCTACAGACAGTAGTCTGCCATGTTTGTAAACAAAACCACATGTGGGTCATGCATATCGTCACACACTTTTGATGACGCCACAATTACTGATGACACATTTTATGACGTCACTATTGAACATGTGCTAATCGGCACGAGGCTATCTCCCCCTAAGGGGTGATAAGCTGATCTTTCCCAGCCAAAACGGGAGACACGCCTGTGAAGGATGGGAGAAATAGTCGTCACATGAGGTGTTCGTCTATGCACATGATAACTTGAGAACTAATAATCATACAAACTTCAAATTTGGCATGGGAATGTGGATGCAAGAGCACAGATGTCATAATAAGCGTTACTCAAAATAGAATTCTGCTTGTCAAGATGATGATAACTGATCAAATCATACAAAATAAATTATCAAACTTGGTGTGTAGATTGCCCTAGTTGATGAAAGTGCCCCAACGATTATGAGTGTGGTCTGCCAGAGGTCAAAGTCACTAGTAGACTAGTGCTTTTGCTAAAAATAAAATTGTGTTTTGTTGTGTTTGTCCCAATAGTAAGTTAAGGTGGCTCCACACATTGTCATCAGCGTCCATTTTCGTGACATACTTCCGGAAAAAGTACAGCTCGGACTCAATTATCCTGAGCGAAATGTGCATGTACACCGTGTTGTCATTTCCGTATTGCGTATCGGGCATTCAATATCGTAGTGCAAATTATAGTAACACCTGGGCCGTTTTCGTTTAAACAGTCAAACCGATCGGGCCACTGTTGTTCGTTTATTAAATAAGGTCGGACCTAGTAATCTGATGCTGCTTTCAGGTGAGCCTTGAGAAAGCCTTGCAAGGCGTGCATACGCATTTGCATGTCCGCCAGGATTTATACCCGAAATTGTTACATTTATAAACGGTCAAACCGGTTGTTTCGCATAAACGAACAGGTCCCTGGTAAACGATAGCACACGTGCGTGCCGATGATATGTCAACACCCGATATCGAGATTTTACCGGGAAATGTATAATCACACGTACTTCAGGAATAAAGCTTTCCAATTCACAGACATGAACAGGCTCATGGGAAGACAGTGACATGAGACCAGACGACCTCAAGAAGGGCATATAGGAAACACATGGAATGCGGACGTACCAACCTCACATGTGCATATCACGTGCTTACACAAGTTCATAAGCTCGAGGTCATTACGATTTTCGCTGTTGAGGGAGTTTCGCTCTGTCGATTAAATCGTGTTTACAAATGTAGTCTACTTACTCTGTGAAAATGATGTTTTGTAAAATATCAAGATACCTATGAAATGCATGTGTGAGTGCACGCCAGAACGGTATCCCATGCGATAGCCTCTGGTCACATATGTACCTGACATGTAATTATGAATATACTGTGAGTTAGCGGACTGTGGAATGATGTCCAAAGTGTACATGACTGAGGGTAATTTGGTTCCAATAAAGAACAATCAATTGATAATTTTGATATCATATTTTTGATTTATTTCCATCATTTTTGTTATATGTAAAATGAGACAACTGTCATTGTATAAATGTCATCCCTCTGCAAAAAGTTCCGATTTTTGTCAAGGAAGATAACTCTCACCTGGATCAAAGTGATTGTAAAATGTAAAATAAATTAATTATAAAGCCATTGTGTATATTTTGTTCAATTTTCCATTCTATATGTATAGATCTTTGTGTCCTGTTTGTTTTTAGCTTGTAGATACTCACTTTTATCCGTACAAATTCAATAAAAAGCACTTTGTGTAACATGTGTTTCATATTTTGCGATAAATAAAATATTTGTAAGGTTAATTGGAAATGCTTCTTTTCATTTTATTATTGTTGTTATTGTTCCGAACAATGCCACACACCCCCAAAAACGTAAAACATAAATATTGACGAAAATTCAATTTTTGGGTATTTTTTCCCAAAAAGTCCCCAAACTATCGGAATGTTTAGATTTTCATAAAATCAACTCTACATAGTTGCATAACCATTATATGAAAGTTTCAATGAATTTTGCTGGTTAGTGCGAAAGTGTGGAGCCACCTTAAATGGAATTTCCACAAAAAGTTCAAACTTGTATTATTTCATGCCCTAGTGATTGCAAATAAGCCTATTGATTTAATGGGGTAGGCAATCAGAAATCAAGGCCACAGTGCCAAAATAAAATTTCACTTCTCTGAATGATAACTTTGTATATTCCACTGATGTTTTTGGGTAATTTGCAAATGGATGTACAAAATTTGCTTCATATGCAGAGAATGGGTACTATGTCCACATAAAACAGATTTATGCACAGTTTTCTTCCCTTCTTGAACACAAATCTATGATGGGTCAATAGCAAACCTTGGACATGTTTTTTTTGGGGGAGGTAGGGGATATGCTGCCCCCGGCAGCTCTCTTGATAATTACCTTGGATGTCCTTCCAGGTTAAAATATTTTTAACAGAATCAGAAGGTGTAAAGCAATATAATCGTCCAACACAGACCAATAACGTTTTTTCAATTAAACTTTTGGTAATAATAATAATAATAATAATTCGCTTTATCACAACCTGGTTTGTAGGTTGTCTCAAAGTGGTTCACAAATTATTATCCGTGGTTATAGGGCCTTTGTAACGAGTTAATATCTTTCTCAACTCCCTGGGGAGCATATAGACGGTGCTAGCATTTCGGCGCTCACAGCTAGCATTCTAAAATTCTAGCACTGCCCAATCACATACTTATTTACTGCTAAGTAGACTGGAACAAGCGGAGTAAAGTATCTTGCTCAAAGATACAACACAGTGCTGTGACGTGACTCGAACCTGCAACCCTTCGGTCACAAGCCAAGCGTCCTACCACTAGACTACTGTGTCTCCGTTTACCGTGTAAAAAATTGAAATCAACACACTTTGTAGGTCAAAGATATGAGATAAATAGCCTCTTCTGGTTATTACATTGTGAAACTTAAATAAATAAATATTACATGTATTGATTCAAACATGTACATGAAGTGTGTTTACCTGGGTGGTTACCCTTTTAAGACCAAAGATAAAAATGTGCATCTGCCATTGGAAAATAGGAAGACCAGGTCCTAACAATGGTTTGAATGAATTTTCTATGAGTGTTTTCAGCTTGAACCATTTACTTAAAGAATGAAGTAAGTGGTTCAAGAGAAAATCATAAATATGGCAATGGCAAGTAGTAAAAATATAGTATTAGGTTTTTATCTTTAATTGTTGATCTAGAAGAAATATTTCTCATTTTGATTTCAGACAACTGAAAAGTCTTAGATCAGTAAAGAAAAGGAATGCATACCGCAACACAGACAAGAAATATGTCACTATGTACTCGGTATCTGATTTACGACAAAAGTGAGTATTTGTTCCCTGTCATAACAGTGCAAATGTGATATTTCTTCACCATTAAATGCAACTATTTATGTTGATACCAACTGACAGGATTTTCACTTGACTCTTGACATAAGTAGTTTCAGAAGTCAAATAAAATTTTCTCAGAATTTCGGAGGGTCAGAAAATATATCAAATTAACATGTCCTTTCAAACCAAAAGGTCAAACTTCATTTTATAAACATAAGTTTGAGGGTCTACTGAAATAGGTGCTCTCAATTAAACGTGGGTGAAACAGGGTAATCTTAAAGCTGTAAGGCTGATGTCAAGTAGCTGCTCAGTTGAACAGAAACCAAATTTCTTCATCGTCAAGTGGCCATTTTAAATATTTTAAAATATCTGACAGTGTTCTGCATGCTCACATTTCATCTCTGGAACAGTTGATATCTTTCTCTGAAAGTGTGAAGTTTTATGTTTTAGGACAATAGAAGTGTGGGGAAGTATGCAAAGAATGCAAAACCTACGCGTGAAACACAACTACAGTAAGTATCATCAAAACGTTTGTAATGGAAATCAGTCAGTTATTAAAGCAGTTTTACGTCACATTCAACTATTGATATACTTATAATAAAATATATCAACAAAACGTTTGTAATGGAAATCAGTAAGTTTTTAAAGCAGTTTTACGTCACATTCAACTATTGACATACTTATTAAAAAAATATATCAACAAAACGTTTGTAATGGAAATCAGTTAGTTATTAAAGCAGTTTTACGCCTCAAATTTAACTAGTGACATAATTATAATAAAATATATCATCAAAACGTTTGTAATGGAAATCAGTAAGTTATTAAAGCAGTTTTACGTCACATTCAACTATTGACATACTTATAATAAAATATATCAACAAAACGTTTGTAATGGAAATCAGTTAGTTATTAAAGCAGTTTTACGTCACATTCAGCTATTGACATACTTATAATAAAATATATCAACAAGATGTTTGTAATGGATTGTAGTTAGCAATTAAACTACAAATGCAAAATAGTCAGTAGGCATTTTTGTCAAGCAACACCAAATACCTTACAATCTCAAAAATATTACTTTTAATGAATACTGTGTAAACTGATATTTTTTTTCAAATAAAATTAAAAACATGATGCTGCATGAAATCAATGCTATAATAACTTGGTCAAGAGGATGATAAATATAATTGTTTTTCTTGTTGTAATAAATAGAATCCAGAACAATTCTATTATGAGTGCCGAGTTTGTTGTGTACACTATATAGCAATACCTTATGATCTTTCAGATTATCAGGACAATGACTCATCTGAAAAACCGGTAAGAAAGTATCAACTACCACTGAATATTATAGAAGGTATTCTTACTGCATGTACATGTACCAGGATCATGGTTAGGGTGAAGTATTGCAATGAAATGGCTAAAAATATTGAATCTACAATTGAAAATAAACTGCCTGGAAGTTGGGTAATATTAAACATAGAAAATTGATTTACTGAAAGGGATCTAAATTTATTTACTAAAAAATGCATACAGATATTTGATTTGTTGAATATTCAATAGATTTTAAGAAATTATATCTATAACTATGTGTCTGGTAAGATCATATGTAATTAGCCTGTGTTTCCTTCCCCCCCCCCCCCCCCCCCAACACAAGAATTTTGACAGATAGATGTCTTTTGAGAAGTCAGAGAACAAAAAATTCTCAAAACTTAACAATACCAAACATGTCCAAGAGTTTGTGTGCCATAGTTTTAATCTATCCCTTCAGTGATGACAATGTAAGGAGGCAGGACCCAAATTGGATCACTTTTTGCAAAAATACTTTTAAATCAATAAATGTGTCAACTGATCAGTTAAAACAATCATGTAGCCTTAGAATAGATAGACATGGACCATTTTAGCTCACCTGGCCCGAAGGACCAAGTGAGCTTATGCCCTGGTGCGGCGTCCGGCATCAATATAACCAAGAGACCTAGTGTGATGCTATTTGGCCAGAAGCAAACTGGAATGAAGGGCTACCAAATTTGTTCAAATAAATGACCTTCGCCTATTTTCAAGGTCACAGGGGTCAAATATGTTAAAAAAAATATACAATTTCTTCTGAATAACCAAAATGCCCAGGGTGATGATATTTGGCCAGTAGCATGCTAGGATGAATTGTTACCGACTTTGTTCAAATGAATGACCTTAACTTATATTCAAGGTCACAGGGGTCAAATATGTTTAAAACCTTTAAAATAAAATCTTCTGAATAACCAAGAGACCTAGGATAATGCTATTTGGCCAGTAACATGCTGGGACGAAGGGCTACTAAGTTTGTTCAAATGAATGACCTTGACATGTATTCAAGGTCACAGGGGTCAAATATGTTTAAAACTATAAATGAATAAAATTCATCCTCAGAATTATTAAAGAATAAATAAAATGATGGTTTGGTGATCCGATTTGGGTACTGTCACCGGTTACCTTACACTCTTACCTGTAAAACATCAAGTGCCATTTAAAAAAATTATTACATGATAATCTTCTGTTTTAAATTGAAATTCTAATTGCATTTGAATCAAAGTCTCATGTTAGAGAAACTGTTGTTTTTGCAGGAAAGTCCAGAAGTAGGTGACTTTATAAGGCAGTTTCCCAATTTTGTGTAGCACTACTATCTATAAAACAGCTGTGATCTGTGTCCTTCATTCATTTACATAAGGAACTCTAATTAAAAGCCAGTGTTAGTCTTAGAAACTGTTTATTTAGTTTAATCAGAGAAAGTGAATTACAATGGCATATCACATGTAAAACCTTCCATCCAAAATGGTAGTGCTATGGTATATATATTATTTAAAATCCAGGAGAAATAATTCTTTAAAGTATTTAATTGATAACCATACTCTTCATAAAAAATGCATAGAAAATAAGATGATTTTTAGAGTTAGCCAGCTTCAAAATAGCTCTTGGAACTCTTAATAAAATGAAAAGTAGGTTTTTGGGTATAGTGTAGCTAATGATTCAAATATTTGTTAGTAATACTTGTAGGTTTGGTCCACAAAAAGTGATTTATATTAGCACGAATCTTCTTAATTCAAATGTGAATATTTCCAATCAGAAAGTTTCATTAATAAGCAGAGGAACAATATTTTTGAAAAGCAAGAGAAAATGTTGCTAATATCATAATTTTACCTACACTAGTAAATAGTTTCAGTTAATATGAAATAGTTTCATTGCATGAATACAGCAACATATGCAATCTGACTTCCCTTTCAGGTAGACGCAAAACATAGCTTTAAATTCTTTAAAGATACCTTATGGTCACCATCCGGTAGAGTGGTGCTGGCCGCAATTGCAGCGTAAGTAAATTTTTGATGAATTTTATGATTTTTAGCCCACCTGCCAAAAGGGTAAATGAGGTTATGTCATGGTGCGGTGTCCCTCGTCCGTCCATCGTTGTCCGCCAACTTTTCCTTTAAACAACTTTTCTTTGGAACAACAGGCATAGAGCCATGATATTTGACTGGAAGTTTTGTTGGTAGGAGCCTGACAAAGTTTGAGAACAAAATTGACCTAACCTACTTTCAAGGTCACAGGGGTCAAATGTGTCAAACACTTTAAACAACTTCTTCTGAATAATCGAAAGGCATAAAATTATAATATTTGGCTGGTGGCTTCCTGGGATAGAGCTCACCAAAGTTTGCTAATGAAAATGACCTTGACCTACTTTCAAGGTCACAAGTGTCAAATATGTCAAAAAAATCAAACAACTTCTTCTGAATAATCGAAAGGCATAAAATTATAATATTTGGCTGGTGGCTTCCTGGGATAGAGCTCACCAAAGTTTGCAAATGAAAATGACTTCAACCTACTTAAAAGGTCACAGAGGTCAACAACATAACAAAGTATTTGTTCTGAAGAACCGAAAGGAATGGATTCATAAGACTTGTCTGGTAGCTTCTAATTGGGATAGAGCTAACAAAGTTTGAGCAGGAAAATGACATTGACCTACTTACAAGGTCATAGGATAAATATGTCAAACAACTTCTGAACAAGAACTAAAAAGCATAGAATGTTATAATTATGTTTGGCTGGTAGTTTCAACAGATGGAGCCAACTAAGTTTGCGAGGAAAATATTTGTAGTGCAATATAATATTTAATGAGACTATTTTGCTATGACTGCTTTAATATTCAGGTGAGCGATACAGGCCCTCTGGGCCTCTTGTTTAGAACTGTTTATGATAATAATATCTTGATAAATTTTAAGAATGTTTAGAAATGTATACCATAAGTAACCACATCGCTTGGTAATACCAAAGTTCAGTGTTCAGTTACTTTTTCCATGCTACATGAATTGGTTATGTCTGGTACTAGACAGCCTCTAATAGTATGTTTGTTGTTTTTATTCAGCAACGTATTAAATGCTGGATTTAAGGGCCTGGCCTGGAACAAAACAGGTTCTGATAGTATGTTTGCTGAAATGATCCACTCTCTTACAGATGCCTTGAATCAGGTAGGTGATCCATGACATCATTGATCATTAGTGTTCAGACTTTGGTGTCTTTGTGTGCTTTTTTAGCCCACCATCATCTGATGGTGGGCTATTCAAATCACCCTGCATCCTTGGTCATGGGGTCCGATCTAAAACAATTCTTGTTATCAATATTTCCCAGAAAGTACCAGAGAGATCTTTCTCAAATTTTATATGTTGGTTTCCCTTGGTCCCTACATGTAGATGTGCATAAACAAAATGGCCAACAGGCAGCCATCTTGGATTTTCACAGTGAAGGTTTGTTATGGCTATTTCTCAGGAAGAACTGGAGAGATCTTTCTCAAACCTGATATGTATGTTCCCCTTGGTCTTTCTCCTTCCTAATGTCTCCCTTGACAATGCCGCACTTTTGGCCATTTGTTGAGCGTTCGCCCCTGTGAGGAAGGCTTTGGGTTCTGTCCCCTGGCCGAGACATACCAAAGTCTTTAAAAATGGTAGTTTATACTCCTGCTTAACGCTGGTTCGCCCGTTGTCAGCTTAATGTGACCGGGTGGGGCGTCCTGCTGGGTGTCTTCGGCAGTATGTTTCAGTGAGGTAGCACTATAAAGTCGGCATCAGTTCCACGCTATCACAAGGAGACAAACACGAACATATCGCATCCTCCCAACATACACACATAAACACTACACACATGCATCTTGCACCTTGTCCTTAAATGACCTTAGCTATTAATGGGACATTAAACAAAATCAAACAAACAAACAAACTGTAGTTGTGCATGTTTAATTTTGAGATTGATTGGATAAACAAAATGGCCGATAGGCCACCTCTTGGATTGTGACTTTCAAGGTTTGTTATCGCTATTTCTCAGGAAGTACTTTCCCAAATTTGTTATGTAGGCGCCACTTGATCTGTAGATGTGCATGTTGAATTTTGAGAATGATCAGATAAACAAAATGGCTTACAGGCAGCCATCTTCGATTTTTAGGTCACCTGAGCGTTGCTCAAGTGACCTTTTCTAATTGCTTTCCATCGGTCGTGTGAATTTCATGACCCTGAAGCTTCACATTTGCCCCTGGGGAGGGGGTGAAATTAACTACAGTTTATATAGGAAAATGCAACTTTTGGGTATATTTTGTTAGTAAATATTGTAATGATTGGTTCTATTTCTTTCACATTATGTACTGTGCTAGTAAATATGTGAAATGACAAACTCACTTTGAAGGTTGTCTTTTATACACAGCAGTATCAAGTTCAGATCAAAAGTTACCTCAGGGTGAATTTACTGTTAACATGACTTGGATCAAACAGATTAGAGAAATTAAGAGAAAAGATTGAACTGACAAAGAACTATTGAAGATGGTACAATGGTGGGTGCCAATATCCCTCTGGGATCTATTGTTGGGGTTTTTTTGGCAAACAAATCAAGGTTATATACACACAATGTTGAATTTAATATGTAATTTGTAAACACTTAACTTTTCACAAGGTCATTTAAATGTTGCTTTTCACAAAATTTTAAAACACTTTTGTATAACTGTTACATAAGACAATGTCATTTAACACTGTTACATAAGACAACGTCATATAAAACTGTTACATAAGACAATGTCATATAACACTGTTACATTAGACAATGTCATTTAGCACTGTTTCATAAGACAACGTCATATAACACTGTTACATAAGCCAATGTCATTTAACACTGTTTCATAAGACATCGTCATATAACACTGTTACATAAGGCAATGTCATTTAACACTGTTACATAAGACAACGCCATATAAGACTGTTACATTAGACAATGTCATTTAGCACTGTTTCATAAGACAACGTCATATAACACGGTTACATAAGACAATGTCATTTAACACCGTTACATAAGACAACGTCATATAAGCCTGTTACATTAGACAATGTCATTTAACACTGTTTCATAAGACAACGTCATATAACACTGTTTAATCACGCAATGTCATATAACACTGTTTCATTAAACAATGTCATATAACACTGTTACATCAGACAACGTCATATAACACTGTTTCATCAGACAATGTCATTTAACACTGTTACATTAGACAACGTCATATAACACTGTTCATCAGGCAATGTCATATAACACTGTTTCATTAAACAATGTCATATAACACTGTTACATCAGACAACGTGGGATAACACTGTTTCATCAGACAATGTCATTTAACACTGTTTCATAAGACAACGTCATATAACACTGTTTCATCAGGCAATGTCATTTAACACTGTTACATTAGACAACGTCATAAAATACTGTTCATCAGGCAATGTCATATAACACTGTTTCATTAAACAATGTCATATAACACTGTTACACTAGAAAATGTCATATAACACTGTTTCATCAGGCAATGTCATTTAACACTGTTTCATTAAGCAATGTCATATAACACTGTTTCATCAGGCAATGTCATATAACACTGTTTCATTAAGCAAAGTCATATAACACTGTTTCATCAGGCAATGTCATATAACACTGTTTCATTAAGCAAAGTCATATAACACTGTTTCATCAGGCAATGTCATTTAACACTGTTACAATAGACAACGTCATAAAATACTGTTCATCAGGCAATGTCATATAACACTGTTTCATTAAGAAATGTCATATAACACTGTTTCATCAGGCAATGTCATTTAACACTGTTACATAAGACAACGTCATATAAGACTGTTACATCAGGCAATGTCATTTAACACTGTTTCATTAAGCAATGTCATATAACACTGTTTCATCAGGCAATGTCATTTAGCACTGTTACATCAGACTTTGTCATTTAACACTGTTACATAAGACAATGTCATTTAACACTGTTACGTAAGACAACGTCATATAAGACTGGTACATCAGGCAATGTCATTTAAGACGGTTTCATTAAGCAATGTCATATAAAACTGTTTCATCAGGCAATGTCATTTAACACAGTTTCATTAAACAATGTCATATAACACTGTTTCATTAAACAATGTCATATAAGGCTGTTACATTAGACAATGTCATATAACACTTTCATCAGGCAATGTCATTTAACACAGTTTCATTAAACAATGTCATATAAGACTGTTACATTAGACAATGTCATTTAACACTGGTACATCAGACTATGTCATTTAACACTGTTACATTAGACAACGTCATATAACCCTGTTAGATTAGACAACATCATATATATATATATATACGTGTTACATCAGACAATGTCATGTAACACTGTTACCTTGGACTATGTCATTTAACACTTACATTAGACAACGTCATATAACCCTGTTTATGAGACAATATTACATGTTATCATGTACAAATGTTTTTTTAAATATGATATTTCTTCTTTATTTCATATTTTATGTGGTGACAGCATCATACAGGATTGTGATGTTACAACCACCTTTTCGGTTCTGAGGATCAAATACACATTCTGAAATCTTCTAAATAATGATGATATTTTACCATTCCTGTCCATTGGTTTTGTTGTAAACATTTTTGGTAAAGGCAGTTCCATTTAATGGCCTGTTACCTTTTCTGATGTCTGTTTGTGTGCTTATTATTCAGATCTTCATGTTATTTGGACTATACATTTCTAACAAAGCTCCCGACTCGGTCCACCCGTAAGTATGTTCTAGCCTATTGTCGTGATCATTGCCTTTCCAATATGTTAAGCTGTAGTAAGTTACTATTTTTCCATTGGCAACAAAGCCTCGAAGAAACTTCTTTTTAGGTCACCTGAGCTTTAGCTCAAGTGACCTATTGCTATCCGTTTTCATCCGTCGTCCGTCGTCCGTTAACATTATACATTTCAAACTTAAAGTCAAGTTCTGCTGGGCCGATTGGACTGAAAATTAGTAGGAATGATCGCCCCATGGTCCTGACAAAGTGTTGTTTTTTTTCGGGTCTATCAGAAATCCAATATGGCCCCCACGGCCGCCATTTTGAAAAACTATTTCAAACTTTAAGTCAAGTTCTGCTGGGCCGATTGCACTGAAAATTAGTAGGAATGATCGCCCCATGGTCCTGACAAAGTGTTGTTATTTTTCGGGTCTATCAGAAATCCAATATGGCCCCCACGGCCGCCATTTGAAAAACTATTTCAAACTTTGAGTCAAGTTCTGCTGGGCAGATTGAACTGAAAGTTGGTAGGAATGATCGCCCCTTGGTCCTGACAAAGTGTTGTCATTTTTCAGGTCAATCAGAAATCCAATATGGCCACCATGGCCGCCATTTTGAAATACTATTTAAAATTAAAGTCAAGTTCTGCTAGGCTGATTGAACTTAAACTTTGTAGGAATGATTGACTCATGGTCCTGACAAAGTGTTGTTATTTTTCAGGTCAATCAGAAATCCAATATGGCCACCATTGCCGCCATTTTGAAAAACTATTTCAAACTTAAAGTCAAGTTCTGCTTGGCCGATTGAACTGAAACTTTGTAGGAATGATCGACTCATGGTCCTGACAAAGTGTTGTTGTTTTTCGGGTCGATCATAAATCCAAATATGGCCGCCACAGCCGCCATTTTGAAAAACTATTTCAAACTTAAAGTAAAGTTCTACTTGGCCGATTGAACTGAAACTTTGGCTGCCATGGCCGCTATTTTGTAAATACCTATTTCAAAAACAAGTTCTAATAGGCTGATCTCACTGAAAATTGGTCAAGGAATGATCAGCTCATGGTCCTGACAAAGTTAAGTTAACATTATACTTAACTCTTTTTTACTCAAATTGGTACATATTTCAACAACAAAAATAAATACTCTAGGACTCAGGTGACCGTTAAGGCCCATGGGCCTCTTGTTTACAGCTTCCATTATCCTTCTATCGTCTTTTAAGCTTACCCTCGGGCAGACAGGCAGGTTTGAGATGATAAATAATGGTAAATCTTTAAAATCTTACTTCTTCAGTACCAGTCAAGGAATCTGGAGCGAGCCCTTGGCCAAAGGGACTCAACATTGTATAAGTAAAGATTGTGTTACCCCATGGAAACACAGACACAGGGCAAAATAGGGAAATAAAGTAGGGTTGTAAACGGTTAGCCGGTTACTTGGTCGGAAGACCAGGAACCAGTTACCAAATTCAATAACTGAATAGTCGGACATGGATGAAAGGCTACCAAGTTTGTTCAAATTAATAACCTTGAATCGTATTCAAGGTCACAGGGGTCAAATATGTTTAAAATTTTAAAACGACTTCCTTTGAATAATCATGAGGCATAGAATGTTGATATTTGGCCAGTATTGTGCTTAGATGCAGGGCTATCAAGTTTGATAAAATGAATGAACTAGACTTGTATTAAAGGTCACAGGAGTCAAATATGTTTGAATCTTTTAATGATATCTGACCAGTAGCATGCTAGGATTAAGGGCTTCCAAGATTGTTAAAATGAATGACCTTGACCTGTATTTAAGGTCACAGGGGTCAAATTTGTTAAAAGCTTTAAACGACTTCTAAATAACCATGAGGCCCAGAATGTTGGTATTTGGCCAGTAGCATGCTTGAATGAAGTTTTTTTCATTTGAATGACCTTGACCCACTTTCAAAAGTTTGTTCAATGTAATGACTTTGTTTGACTTTTTCAAGGTCAAGACTTCTTGTCATAAATACTGATATTTTGGCTGTAGCTTTATTTTAGATCACTTTTAAGGTTACAAGTGTGAGATTAATACGAGGTGTGTGAAGTAGGCCAATAGGGCCTCTTGTTCATCATTCCATTTGGTATCCAAACTTCTATTCAAATCCTCCTCCTGTTGACAAGACTAAGTCTTTATACATGTGTTACATTAAAAAGCACATGGCTTTTCTCTGGGTGCTCTTGTTCCCTCCCACATTAAGATTCCTTGCACTCTTCAATCTGAGTCATTAAGAGTGATTAGTAGAAGTTGGTAGAACTTGTTTCAAGGTCAAATATGCTGGCCTCAATAAGGTGCCAAATTAAACATTCTGTGCGAGTTAATTTTAGCTCTCCTGGCCTGGCTGTGTTCTGATTGGGAAGTGACCACACTTAAGTTTTGCAATATAACTTGCTTAAATATCCTTCAGGTGAAACTTTGCAAACACAATTAAATTTGAATCAAATCTGTGCATAACTAATTCATTATAAATCATGTACATTTAATAAGTTTCTATATCATTTTTCAGATATGGACATAATTCAGCTAAATATCTCTTCTCTTTCGTGGCTGGCATTGGCATCTTCTTCTTTGGAGGGTTTATCAACTGTGCATACGGAATAATTGGCTTACTTTATAATACTCAACCCTACCTCTACTCTGTATGGGTGAGTTATGACCTTACCTTGAACTACATTACAATAGGCAGGTATTAAACAAAACACAGAAATTATATTATAGATAAGATCATCATTTCATACATATAAAACAATAAGCAAAATTGACATGGGATACTTTAATGATAAAATAATTAGTATTGTATTATATATAACATTTGAGGTTACAAACGGTTATAGCATAGCAGAATAGACGATGGTTGTTGCCCTGGAAAATTAATAGCTGCTTTCAATCAAAGGGGCAGGGCCCAATAGGGGAAATCAAGTTTTTTAAGTCTTCAAAATCCTTCTTCCTCTGTTCCATTGGAAGGATTTTATCCAAATTTGGCATGGACCATCTTTGGGCAAAGGGGACTAAATTTTGTATAAATAGGTACAGCCCCTCTGGGTGCAGAGGGACGGGGCCCAATAGGGAAAATCAAGGTTTAAATCTTTAAAATCCTTCTTGTTTTGTACCATTGTAGCGATTTTATCCAAATTTGGCATGGAGCATTCTTGACTAAAGGGGACTAAATGTTATATAAACGGAGGGTGTGGCCCCACTTGGTGCAGAGGGGCATGGCCCAATAGGGGAAATTGAAGTTTAAACCTTTTAAATCCTTGTTCTAAACTGTTGGAGAGATTTTATCCGGATTTGGCCTTAAATATCCTCAGGTAAAGGGGACACAATTTTGTATAAATAGTGGGTTGCTTTTAGGGTGCAGAAGGGTGGACCCAGTAGGGGAAATTGAGATTAATGTTTAAATCTGCCCCAATTCATAGGGGTAGAAAGAAGGGACCTGATGAGGGATGGGTGTTGCTGAGAGACACTGCCAATATTTGGAAATAGTTGTTGTATGTTATGAGAACAATTTTCCATGGTTGCTTTATTATCCAGGTTAGCAATACAGGCCCTCTTGGCCTCTTGTTTAAGGAAAATATTTTTGGTTCTTCATGATAGACAAGCTGATATTAAATTACCTACCTACCTTTTGTTTTGTTGACAGGCCCTTGGGATGCTGATAACCACCACATGTACAGAAGGAGGTAAGATATTGCCTTGTTAGCTCACCTGCCCGAAGGTGTATAAACGGTTGGTGTGACCCCCCTGGGGGCAGAGGGGTGAGGCTGAATAGGGAAAATAGAGGTAAAACTTTGAAATCCTTCTTCTAGTGAAGTCTGAAGCAACCTTAGGCTAAGGGGACTCAATTTTGTGTAAACGTTAGATGTGACCCCCAGGGCAGAGGGGCGGGGCCCAATAGGGGAAATTGAGGTAAAACCTTTGAAATTCTACTTCTTCTATTCCGTCTTTGTGTATTGCAGAGTTATCTTCTCTTGGGAGCAGGTATTGATTGTGACGTCACTTGTTTGTGAGAGTAACGTCATCAATTTTTGAGAAAACGGCGTAATTTTCTCACACAAACCAATGACGTAACAATCAATCCCTGCTCCCAAGAGAAGATAATTCTGCAATACGCAAAGACGGAATAGGGATTACAGGATTTTGTCCAATTTTGTCTCTATCAGGTTGTTAAGTAGTGCCTGTTACTTTTTGTGTATTCATTAAAACAAGATGGCCACAAGGCCACTATCTTTGATTTTGACATTTGAAGATTGTTCTCACTATATCACCAGAAATACTGGTTGGATCTTTCTGAAATTTCACATGTACATACAGTACGGTAAACCTTCGGTCAGTTGGAACAAAATTAAATAAATATTGATGAACCTGTTCGGATTATACAAAATTATGCTTCAGAAAATAAGCGTGAGTTCGAACTATCGGCAAAAATTTCGGCAAAGTGCAAATCAAGTCACAAACATATACCCGACATATTTTCTTCACCGGAGTATACCTCTATATATCCAATGTAAGGAGATACATAACAACGACGGCCTGGCATAGAACAATGGCACATTTATAAATAGGTAAAATGATAGTATATTATTTAATTCAATGTTAATTGGTCATTAAACTTTCTTCATTTCGTGCTTATTATGATCGTTATTGCGAAGCAGAGGCCCTTGTGTAGGCCCCGAAACAGTACACGTTTCATTTGTGACACAAAAGTTGAGACTACCTAGCTTGTATCAGAGACCTCAATATTGAGTCTCTGTGTGGTTAGGTGTTATTTGAATCAGAAACTATTGTATATATTATTGGTAATGAATGGTCCGTTTAATAAATTGAAAACATAGTCTACATAACCTGTTGTGTTTACAAAGCGTTACCTTACAGTAAATATAGGTCTATATGTTAGTAAAATTAGGTCAGAACATTAACATGTCTGCTTTAAATTATAAGTGATATAGTCCTAATACCTACCAAACTTATTTGACACCTTCAAAATTACCCATTGCTAATTAGGACACCTGTGGATATGTTTGGACTTTGACATGAATGCTAATCACGTCACGCACCATGGCTGGGCGGCCGATTCCTACCGCGACATCGGGTCCTGCCCTACCTGGTGTGAGGCACACGTTTACACGTTTACAATAATTAAGGGATGTCTGGTCGCAATAAAATAATCAAAATGCTTAGTTAACACTGTATTTGACAACACACGGGCGATTTTTTAGCGTACAGCCATACAGCATGACATCAGTGCGTACTGATCGCATGTTATTTATACATTGTCGGGGCCTAAGTTGAAATTGGCTGTCTCGTGCACGATGTATTTTCCAAACAATGTAAAAAAAATGAATCAACGCTAAAATCTGTGACATATATTTATGATTTGTCTGTCTCAGCTGTACTGCAATGCTCACACATACAACCCATTACCCTAAACGTGTCTGTTGATCAAAGTATTGGCATTTTTCCGGGGCCTATCGCAGCGAGATTTCAATGGAGTTTGCCGAAAAAAAATCTTACTTTACGTTTTCATTTGACAAGTTCGGACTATCCGAAATAAGGTCAATCAGAGTTTGAACTATCACAAGCTAGAAAATTATTGTTTTTATTGAAAAAAATACGTGTTCGAACTATCCGCCGATTCGAACTGACCGGAGGTTTACCGTACTTACCATGGAGTGCTATGACTTTACCTCATATTAAGTACTCTACACGTGTCCAGGTGAGCGATACAGGCCCTCTTGGCCTCTTGTTTTTTTCTGTATTCATTCTACACACAATCCCAGGGAATTAATAGATATTTTTTGACTCAAAATATGGGAATTGGCATGTTATAGAACAAAGAAATAGCATTTTACAAAATTTCTACTGAACTGCTATAGATATTGGTCGGATTATTGAGTTATTCACCCCCATACTACATACAAATGTCCGGGCGACCAAGGATTATCCCCCTTTCATAAGGTCAGTTTTCTTAACTACGATAGCAGACTCACTATATTTCATTTTGATGTGGGTTATTCATCACCACCACTACACCAGAGAAAAGCAGTTATCTCCCTTTTTTAGGGTTATTCATCTCCTCACAGAACAACAGAAGAGTGATTACCTCCCTTGTATACAGATTACTCATCTCCAACATCTCTATGAGAGGTGTTACGATGATAGTATGGATATTGTTTATTTCGGAGCAACTACGTTTAAAGAAAAAAATGATGCCTGTTCATTTCTTCTTACGATACGTATTTGCTACATGTATATCAATGTCCAAACAGTTGAGTTTAGTTTCAAAAGTAGCGGGCTGAATGTTGAAAGATAGCCAGTCAGCTTACAGTTGATGAAAAGCAGGTTGTCTTTGTGGGCATCAGGCTTTTAAGGAGAACAATGTATATTATGTATATGATGTGCAAAAAAAACAACTTCTTTGGAAATATACCTTCAACAATTTGCCACTGTTTATAAAACTTATCATTAAAAATTAACTTATGTATGAAAATGGTAATGTAAAAAATAAATAAAAAAAATACCATTCCTGTTATGTATATATACATTTGTATTCTACTTCAGCAGTTTGATAATTAAATACATCTAAAATGAATACAATTGAATGAATTCTTTATGTCTTCTATAATTCAGGTTCATTACTGTATGCTATTTACGAAGCCAAAAAGAAGATGGGGCCAACAGAAACAGGAATCAAAGGATTTAGAAACTTTAGTAAGCTCTGCTTGTTTATGCTTAATATTAATACACTTTCACAAAAATGATGATTCACTTGCTACAGAAAGTAGAAATCAAGTTCAGTAACAATGTTATAATAAAATGCATTATACATACACAGTCTCGTTTTTATTAGGGCCCCGAATCAGAGATACGGGTGCCCTATAGTAATCACTCTGTCTGTCTGTCTGTCTGTCTGTCTGTCCGTCCACAAATTTTGTTTCTGGCTGAAAGTATTTATTGACCAATGTACATGAAACTTGGTCAAGATGTTCAGTTCACAAAAATACACATTGAGGTAAAAAGTCGAGGTCAAAGGTCAAGGTCATTAGGTTCAAAGGTCAAGGTCAAATTTTACATCTTTTCACTGATGAACATTTTGTTATGACATTATGAAGCAAAATTGATCAGAATTAAACAAAGAGTCAACTGACCAAAGGTCAATGTCATTGGGTCAAAGGGCAAGGTTAAGTTTTGTATCTTTTCACTGGTGAACATTTCGCTATGACACTTTGAAGCAATGTAGCTCAGAATTAAACAAGGAGTCATTTGACCAAAGGTCAAGGTCACTGGGTCAAAGGTGAAGGTTAAATGTTGTTCCTTTTCCCTGATGAACATTTTGTTATGACATTATGAAGCAATGTTGTTCAGAACTTAATGCACATATCAGCCCTGACTGAGCCCCCGGGGCTGATGGGTGGGGCCAAAAAGGGTTGAATTGACTGAAATTTCAAAAATCTTCTTCTCAAGACCCAGATATGGTAGAATCAAATACTCTTCATAGATGGAAGGGTCTTAAGGTGCTTTACCAAAATTGTGAATTTCATGACCCTGGGGTCTCACGTTTCCCCCTGGGGAGGGGGTAAACTTTATTATAGTTTACATTGGGAAATCACATTTTAGACTAACATTTGTTAAATTGCCATTGGGAGTAATTCAATTTGGGTTAGAATTATCAGTATTGGATAGCAGTTTGATGGTATGCACATATCAGCCCTGACTGAGCCCCCGTGGCTGATTGGTGGGGCCAAGAAGGGTTCAATTGACTGAAATTTCTAAAATCTGCTTCTCAAGACCCAGATATGGTAGAATCAAATACTCTTCATAGATGGAAGGGTCTTAAGGTGCTTTACCAAAATTGTGAATTTCATGACCCTGGGGTCTCATGTTTCCCCCTGGGGAAGGAGGGGAGGGGGCTAAATTTGTAATGGTTTATAATGGCAAATGATACTTTGAATATTACATGTTGATAACTTGATTGGAATTATAACCCTAAGTTGTCAGTTTGATACTTGGTAAATTTTGAGCCATCCCTACCCTCAAGGGCTGTACGGGTGAGGCCCAATGGAGTCTGTGTGCTAAAATTAAATTTCTTCATTTTCCTTGTTTAGAATCAGAGGTGCTAGTTTCAAATACTTTTTAGTCTTAAATCTGTATGCTAGATATTGAATAAGGTGGTTTTATTGTTGTTGTCACTTTGAATAATATTTCTGTACATGTTTAAAACAAAATATATCAGGTGACCGTTAAGGCCCATGGGCCTCTTGTTTACTTTAAACATCTTCTTCTGAATAACCAAGAGGCCCAGGGTGATGATATTTGGCCAGTCGCATGCTGGGATGAAGGGCTACCAAGTTTGTTCAAATAAATGATCTTCACCCATTTTCAAGGTCACAGGGATCAAATATGCCAAAAACTTTAAACAACTTCTTTTGAAAAACCAAAATGCCCAGGGTGATAATATTTGGCCGGTAGTATGCTGGGATGAAGGGCTACCAAGTTTGTTCAAATGAATGACCTTGACAAATATTTAAGGTCACAGGGGTCAGATATGTTTAAAACCTTTAAACACACATATTTTGCTTGTTCTAACTGTATGGTTTGTTGATCACAGTCGAACAAGGAGTAGATCCTAGCATGGCGGTGGTGATTCAGGAGGACTTCGCCTCAGTGCTTGGTAACTTTCTGGCCCTAGGCTGTTATTATTTGGGAAGTACTCTTGAAACTTCCCTTATCTGGGTTGACTCCTTAGGCTCCCTTATGATTGGTGGACTACTTGGAACAGTAGGAATTTACATCATGCGCAAAAACTATTCAGCCATCTTGGAAAAGTAAGTACTTCAATTTAATTATCTGAGAACATATACTACTCACATTTTGCCAAGGATCACTTTTATTTTTGGGCATATGTGAAAATAATTATTTTATTTGGTTTATACTGAGGTTATTTTTGAAAAAATTGATTGTTCCAAAAATTGTAATTACAGTCGGAAAATGAGCCACAGGAAAAGGGTTACCCTTAAAATTGGTAACAATGAGGTATTCACTAAAAAACTTCAATTGAACAAAACTCATCCTAAATAAACAGAAACTGTTTTAGTATCGAGTGTGAAGCCCATGAGCATCAATTACACCATCACAACGCCTGCGCATGCCTCAAATGAGATCGGGTATTCGGTTTTGTGGGATAGCGTTCCACTCAGCTACCAAAGCTGTTCCCAGCTCCTGGAGCGTTCTGGTTGAACATTTCTGGCAGAGAGAGCTGTCTGCAGCATGTCCCACACATGCTCGATGGGATTTAGATCCGGCGAGCGGGCTGGCCAATCCATTCATTGAATAGTCTCTTGCTGTAGGTACTGCTCAGTCACCCTTGCTCTATGTGGCCTAGCATTATCATCCATAAGGATGAAGTCAGGGCCGATAGCGCCAGCGTAGGGTCTGACATAGGCATAAAGGATTTCATCGCAGTACATCTGGGCTGTAACTGTACCATTATGGAAGACATGGAGGTCTGTTTTCCCAGGAAGGCTTATGCCTCCCCGCACCATCACTAAACCTCCACCATATCAGTCATGTTCCACAACTTTACCTGCCTGGAACCTCTCCCCAGGTTGTCTCCATACTCTGAAGCGTCTGTCGGTAAAGTGGAGACAGAATCTGGACTCGTCAGTAAAAAGGACCGGTTCCCATTTCTGAAGAGTAAGTGCTGTGAGTTTGCCCCAATCTATTCGGTTCCTAACATGGCGGGCAGTTAAGGGAACTTGTATTGCTGGTCTACGTGACCTTAAACCAGCATCATGAAGACGGGTACCAGAAGCATTTAGGAGGTCGTTTTGTAAAGCTGTGTTAGTCTGGAACCTGTGACACTATGCCTGTATGAGCAAAAATTGGTCTTGGCGCTGCGTTGTAGCCCTAGAACGACCTCCAGCATGACGTCTGGATGAGTTTCCGGTAGTTTAGAAACAATTCCACATTCTTGCCACCACACTTTGAGATACCCCTAGGTCTGCTTCAACCTGATGTTGAGACATACTAGCTTGCAGCATTCTGATGTCCCTGTTCATTTCACCGTCATTTAACCGTTGTCTGGTCCTTCTTTGTGCCATATTAAAACAAAAACACACAAAGAATATTCATCAAAATGATTTCCTTAACAATTTGAACAATGCCTAGCTTAGCTTTTGAAAGGGGTGTACACGTGGAAAAGGGTGCACATGCTTTTATGGTTGGCTGAACACAGGACGATTTGGAAGGCTAACATATTCGCCGAAAACAGTACGGAAAGAAGATACAATATTCTTTCTAACGTTTTGATTTTTTTTTCTTCAAACTTAGCAAAATGTGAGTAGTATATAAGAACTGGGTATGTCTTGAAATATCGGTTGAAAATTTTGTGTGTCATAACGGGACACTTGTAACACTTTAAAACAGATATACAGTAATTGGCTGTATTTGAGTACATATATAGGTAGCCATGTAAGTTTCAGGAAACTTTCTGTTGTGGAATTGAGTGCTGGATATGTATCTTTTCTTACATCAATGATTACCACTTTGAATTTTCATCAGTTTATTTTTGATATTTCCTCCCATCTTTGTTCAGACAGACACACGTTCAAATGTAGATATAAATACTTAATGCCCATTTAAATCAGACTTTAAAAGTGGTAATGCCCCTATGGGTAGGGAGTGTGGTCTGATTGGGTTGGGGAAAACTTACAACATACATTGTATTTTAAAATATATATTTTTAGAGAAATTGATTTAATAAAGATGGACATCTGTTATCTCCCCTAACCCACTTCACTCCTCAACACCATTATCCGAGAACATATGAATACTGGGTATGCCTTGAAATATCAGTTGAAAGTTTTGTGTGACATAACAGGACACTTGTATCACTTTAGAACAGATATACAGTAATTGGCTGTGTTTGAGAAATTGTTTGAGAAATTGCTTAAATAAAGAGGGTTATCTGTTACCCCTCCCCTCTACACACTCAGGCCTACTTCCACTTGATAACAGGATGCATTAGAGAACATATTAGAGAAACTGCTTAATAAATAGGGTTATCTGTCCTACCCCACCTCAGCTCCACCCCCTCCACACTCCCTCTCCACACTCCCTCACACCCTCTCCACACTCCCTCACACCCTCTCCACACTCCCTCACAAACCTATTTGACTTCCATGTTGCAATTTTTGATACACAGTTGTTACATTCATCATTTACTAATTAATATTTACAAAGTGATTGTCTGATTCTGTGCAGGTCTGTTCCTCTCGAGGTAAAAGAGGCTATTCAGAATACAATGGAGAGTGATCGCATTGTCAGGTAGGTGTGAATGTTCTTGTCTGACCATGCCTCTACAGACCTCTAATGTGAACGCTTGATATCAGAAATCTTATGACATTTTAACGGTGAAAATTGAGTTTGCTTTTTTCTACTCTGACAAGTAGAACCTTTTTGTTATTTCGTTAATTCATAAATCGGTATTCCATGTCTCCATGTATTTGGATAATTATTAACTACATAGTAGTTAGATATGAAGGGCAAAAATTAACATCTGGCCGATAAAGATTTTACTGGGGAAGGTTGAAACTTGGGCTGGGCAGAAATTTTGCAGTATACAGTATCTGTTAGTGAAACCTATGTTTTTAAAAAGAAAAAATGAACAAGGCAAAATATTCTTGGTTTCTTGATGAATAACAGGTATATATTTAGGTCACCTGGTCCAAGAGTTAAAATGGGTCTTTAGGGATGAATGAGTTCATATTACAAGTTTCGTTGTCTTATCTTGTAATTTATGCTTCAATCTCAAAATGTCCTAATACTTGTATTGTGATGTTAAATGATCCTTAAGACTTCTGTTTATAGAAACAATCAAATGCATATATACCATTCCAAATTCTGTTATAGATCGGTTCACGATATGAAGGTAGTTAACAACCGAGTCAAGGCAGAGATTGACTTCAACGGACGAGAAATCACCAGACAGTATTTATCGGAGCAGGACATTAAAGCTATACTGGAGGTTTGTTGATTTAGTATCACTGACAGAGTCTGCACTTACTATTGTTGTAGATCCAATATCCCTGAAAGTGTACTAACTGTAGTTAATTTTGTCTGTCCTGCAGTAGCACTGAAGATCTACAATTGTAGGTCAACAATCACCATATTGACAGAGATAAAGTGTTTAGGTATAGTTTATCATTTAAGTTGAACTTACCAAAAGTTGTTTTGTTTTTTTTGAAAAATGGTCCTCACAATTAATTAGGCAAGATGAATTGATTACAGATACAATTTTTGTTTTATATAGGAACTACAGTTCATGTCAAATGAAGAAGAGGCAAAGGAGTTCCTTGTGGATCTTGGTGATGGTGTTATCAACCAACTAGGTAAAGGGGTGGACGGACTGGAGACCAAAATCAAGGTGTGTACTTCAATAGTCTGGTGATAAATTTAAGCAATTGAATGTCAAGGTTAAAGAGAGGCTGGGGGTCAAGACTATAGACAGGCGGGGGTAAAGGTTATAGAGAGGATGGTTGTCAAGAGGATGATTGTCAAGGTTATAGAAAGGCCAGGTGTCAAGATTATAGAGGGGCTGGGGGTCAAGGTTATAGATAGGCTGGGTGTCAACAAGGTTATATATAGGATGGTTGTCAAGGTTATTGGTGGCTTGGGTCAAGATTATAGATGTAATGGTTGTCGAGATTTCAGAGAGGTTGGGGGTCAAGGTTATAGATAAGATAGGATTGTGGTCAAGGTTATTGGTGGCTTGGGTCAAGTTTATAGACGGGATGGTCGTCAAGGTTATAGATGGCATGGGTCAAGTTTATCGAGCGGATTGTTGTCAAAGTTATAAAGAGAATGGTTGACAAGGTTATAGAGGGGCTGGGGGGTCAAGGTTATAGATAGGCTGGGTGTCAAGGTTATCGATAGGATGGTTGTCAAGGTTATTGGTGGCTTTGGTCAAGTGTATAGATGGGATGGTTGTCAAGGTTATAGGTGGCTTGGGTCAAGTTAATAGAGAGGATGGTTGTCAAGGTTATTGGTGACTTTGGTCAAGTTTATAGATGGCATGGTTGTCAAGGTTATAGGTGGCTTGGGTCAAGTTTATAGAGAGGAAGGTTGTCAAGGTTATAGAGGTGCTGGGGTTGAAGGTTTCATAAAGGCAGTGTGTCAAAGTTATAGACAGGCTTGATGTTAAGGTTATAGAGAGGCTGGTTTTCAAGGTAATAGAGAGGTTGGATGTCAAGATTAGAGGCTTGTGGTCAAGTGTAAAAAGAGGCTGGGGGTCAAGGTTGGTGAGGGGCTGGGGTTAAGTTGGTAGAGCAGCTTTGTGTTCATTTACTGACACTGATGATTGAGAGACTTGACTTCAATAAAAGATTTCCCAATTTTCTCTTTCTTAATGGATGCAACAGTGTTTTGTTATATGCCATAAGATATTCTGCAAAACACTTTAAATGAGTTTCTGGGTTATTACCTAAATGGCATATTCATAAATCATTTGAAAATGAAATGTACAAAGAAAAAGATTCAATGCTTTCATTTGGGAATGTCTGATAACAAGCCAGATTACTATAAAAAAAAACATATAATCAATAAAGACATTTCAAGATTATACAGAGGAGGGAGAGGGGTTCGTTAAGGTCATAAAATGGTATTCATTAAACTTAAAATAAAAAGAAGGAAACTGCTGTGAACATTTTTGAAATTTAAAAATTATTTCAGAAAGCAAAGATTATGTAACAAAATTTAACTGTAATTTAGGATTCAGTCCAAAGCATTTGCTATTTCATTAATGATTTTCTTTTGTGCATAGCTTACCTTAAATGCATAGGATATATAAAAAATATATGAGTCTCTAATAATGAACCTGTTTTTTTCAGGCAAGACACCCCCAAGTTCGGCATGTAGATCTGGAGTCATTATGAAGTGCTAAATACAAAAATGATGTCCAAATTGTGTTCACACGTAGCAACAATCTGTCGGTGATGAAGTTGATATATAGAGATGATCTTATCAGGGTTGACCTAGTAGTAGTGACCTTTGACCTTGTAGTCGTGACCTTTGACCTAGTAGTAGTGACCTGTGACCTTGTGTAGAGGTGATTTTATCAGAGGTGACTTTGGTTGGTGACAGGATTTCAATGATGGAAGGAGAATTTCATTCATTCATTGCCATTATCACTTAGTGTTTTGATTTTTGCATGTCTTCATAATCATTTCAAAAGTTGCAATATTTGGAATCAAAAGTATTATGCATAAATATGTTTTATTCCAAGTCTAGTCCACGCCATTATTAGTTAAAATACAGTATGTATGATCTTAGAGGGTACATATTTATTGTGTCTTGTTTGTAAGGGTATGGTAGTTCTTCGAGGAGATTTGATTGAAATTGATGGCAGAATACAAGGACATAAACCAAACCAAAATTCTGTGATTCTTGAATAGTTGTCTTACTCTTGCACAAACTGTAAAAGTTAAAAAATGGAATAAAGGATACCTAGATGACTTGTAACTTGTATTATTTGTTAAAAAGATTGTTTATACATGTATATTTGCTGTCTGTGTATGGGGTAATGTTAAGATGCCTTGGTATCCTCTGAAAAAAAACGTTTTACATATATATCAGCTAATGTATTATACAGTGTACTACAACTCAAATAAGTATCACAAACAAAATAGAACCTTGAGATGTGTACAACTCATTTCATTGTGTAATTATCTAATCACATGTTTAGAATCAGTAATGTAGGATATATTTGGAATTTACTATAATTTACTATGACATTAGGACAGAGTTCATATACCTGATTTTCACAAAAAGTCTCTCTCAAATGGACATAAAAGTAGGGTTTCCTTTTTTGCTCAAATGAGCTATTTTTTTACGATATTTGTCCAGCGTCCAACGTCCTCAACCTTTTCATATTTTAACTTTCAACACAATTTCAACCCAATCAATTTCGCCAAAACCGATTGGGAATGAAAAGTGCATTGTATTTAACAACTTTTGCTTCTTTTTGGAATTAATTTGAAATTCAATTTGGCCGTCATGACATATTTTACCGAGACACAGAGGAAATGGTTATTGCATACTTTCTGACCAATAGTTGTTACTTTGGAGCCAATTTGAAACCCAATATGATCACCATGGCAGTCGTCTACAAAGTTGATTTGAATTTACAGTATGATCAGAATGATTTGCACCTTATTGTGAAAATTCCTAGTGGTGTGTGTTCCTCTTAGCGCCATTTAATTAGTTCAAATCTCATGCGAGTGTAAAGGCCCGTTTGGCCTCGAGTGAGAAATTTAACCATTAGCAGTATTGTAAGATCATAACTAGGGTACCAACCATAGAATGGTGTATACTGTTTTGTTTTGATAATGAATATTTCCTCACATATCATTTACAAGACTTTTAAGGTTTACGTATAATTTCTTTTTGAGTTGCGTAAAAAAAATATCTTTTATTTAAAAAATGCATGGTTATATTGCCATGTACCATGTGTGATGCTATCATTCCAGAACATTTTAGCTACAATATGAAACCTTTTCATTTTTGTATTTTTTTTATGGTTACAACAATCTACCACATTTTAACCTGATATTTGGTACCACACATTCAGTTAAAATGTGACAAGTATAAATATGTGATGGGCATTTTCTGTTCAAGTGTTACTGTTTATTTCCTTTTGACCTTGGCAAAGGGCAATCACATGTACGTCTGTGATGCCTTAATGTATATGTGAGCTTCTAGTGTATAGTTGTACCGCTAACCTTATTTTTATACCCAAAACATGGCTTGTATAATAGGTAAGTTATTTCATTTAGATAAATACATTTGTCTTACACAGATGACACAGATATGTCAGCTAACAGGAAGTTATTTAACCCTTTCACCACTATGTAACTTTAGTAAACTCTACCATTTATTGATCTGGATGAGTCCATTATGGTCTATAGTGGTGAAAGGGTTAACATCTTATTTAGTAGTAACTATTTTTCTCCGTCTCACATTTTGTAATTGTTTATGTTTGTGTCCTGATGAAAGTGCAGATTTTCTAAACATTTGACAAATTCCATGGTCCACACTCACTAATACTTCAGAGCCTATATATGATTGCTGTTTATATAGATTACATATATTACACACTTCAGTGAAAGCAGACAGTGCCAGACATTAGCACAATATTTAGAAGAGAGTTAGACTGTATCTTGTGAACCACAAGATATCTATTTAATTAGTCCTCCACCAGTTCCCGGGGGGGACAATAGGTTTGCACTTCGTCCTTCCTTCTGAGAAGTTTGTCCAGGACAAATCTTCTATACTATTTCACCTGCATTAACCAGATTTAGTGTATAAGGACATCTTGGAATGGTGGGGTGCAGAGTACAAGAGTTAGGTCACTGTGACCTATGACTTGACCTTTGACCTTAACCTTTTTCATTGTCCTGGGCATTTGATATCTTCTGTACTATTTCACCTGCATTAACCAGATTTAGTGTACAAGGACATCTTGGGATGACGGAGTGCATAGTGCAAGAATTAAGTCACTGTGATGTATTACTTGACCTTTGACCTTTACTTTTGAAAAAGTTTGTCTGGGGGCATATCTTCTGTATTATTACACCTGGAGGAACCAGATTTGGTGAACAAGGACATCTTAGGATAGTGGAGTGCAAGAAGTTAGGTCACTATGATCTCACTGTAACCTATGCTTCCTGACACAAAATTGCTGTATGTTAGATATAGAAATCATTACCGGTAAGGGACTACAGATTGCCTTGCAATACTTTGCCTTGTTATTATGTATATGATAGATCTAAGTTTATTTGGTATTACATGCAGTATACAAGTCTGGTGAAATACCTTATATAAGTATATAAGATACCTTTTGTTGATTTTCAAGAAAAGAGGATCTTGACCCGAAAGATTTACCATCCGGGTTCACATAGGTATTTGTTATGTAGGAAATCAGCTGATTGATGATTTCATTCTGATTGAGCCCATAACGCACTTTTTTACGTCTTACAGCTAAAGTCATTTATAGAGGACATGTCAGGTTTAAGCATTTAACAATTTTGTTTTTTACCACTTCTATATTACAAATATGGTATTAAAAATGTTTTATATAAATGTGTGGCAAGTTACTGTATGCCGAGAAGTTTTTCGTGGCACTTTAACTTTCGCCTTTTTAGCCCTCCTGAATGATGGCCATTTTATCATGACAGCAAATATAAGTTCACAACATACATTTTATAGTAGTAATTACTTGTGAATGGTGAAATTAATACAAGGCGAACATGGATTTTATCGGCAGATGGCGAATATTTGAACGATTGAAAGTTTTTCGCCCGATATATAGTATAGTGTTTCTGGGAGTGGCAGTTCATATATCAGGTATTGTATATGTAGTTGTGTTACCTCCACTAGGGTGACCTGGGAACTATGACCTACTGTCCCCCTGATGTATTTGTATAACAGAATTATGTTGGAGTGATCATCAGTACCTATTGTAGCTCGGTTAGTTTATTAATATGTCTAGAGATCTAAGGTCGTGGGTTGGAAATGTGATCTGGTTGTTAAATTGTTCCACCCATGTACAACACTTGTGTTGTGGTAATACCTCCGAAAACGAGTGAGTTTTTGACTGTGTGATGTGAAGGAGATATATATACAATGTATGTTACCTTGGAGAAATTCTTACACTAAACAAGATACCGGTATTTGTTAACCACTTGTGATCATTTGTTTAAGTGCTGGTGTACTGAACAAATGTTACTGACAAAGCAATGTACAATTGATGTACATTATTGTTTATTTGCAGTTATGTCTTGTTTTAGCTTTTCTAATGTATGACACATACATGTATGTTTTACCGTTTGTGGACGGAATCTTAAACAGTTGTGATGCATAAAGAATAGTTATTGGAAAAGATGTGAAATTCAAGTCACGTTTCTGATGACGCCTGTTGGGTGTTGCTACCGTAATTGTATAGCTGGTGACGTACAGCTGCAATGTGGACAGTGTGACATGAAATATTTGTTGTGTATTGAGATTCACAGTGTTCAAAAAGTTCAAAATGGAACTGAAAATAAATCAAATGCTTACATGCCCTGGAGGGGCTGATGATGAAAGATATAGGTGGTGATAAAATGTAAACATAAAACTCAGCATGAAGATACGTGTACCCACAAATGTTTCATGTTATAACTGATCCTTTCTTCTTTAACTTTAGGAGGCGTAATGCAGCTCAGCTCATGCACATACATGCTACAAACATTTTATGTCTCCTCTGCAATAAAATTTTGAAAATAAAGAAATGGCTTGAGGTTATATATATCTGAATGACAGTTGTAAATAATAGCCTATAACTGATGTATATAATATCTTGTCAGTGATTGAAAGTCTGCTTAATTTGGTATTGGTGCCTGCTAATAATTAATATGCAACTCCTCATTTCACTGAAATAACTGAAGTATTTGCTGAAGTAACCTTTTGCAATCCTCTGCTGTCCATTAACATGTTACTTTTAGCATAAAGTGAAACAGTATTGAAAGGATTTCACTGAAGGATCAAGGTGAGCTCATACTGTACCTTGGTATCCATCGTTCTTCCGTCAACTATTTCTTCAAACAACTTCTTCCTCTGAACATCTGATTCGACTGGAATCAACCCTAGGAGGTGGGGATTCGAAATGAACAAATGATGGGGTTGACCCCACAGGGGGCTGATGGGAGGGTTCGAAAGTGTTTATTTAACCATATTGATCTATACATCTTCTCCTCAGATACTTCGAGATAGATATTAACCGCAACTTTTTGGAAGCATTCTCAGGAGGTATGGATTCAAAATTGTACAAATGGAGGGGCGGGACTAAAAGGGTAATTCTAGTGGAATGTTAATAATTCCCAATATTTTGGTACTGGTCCATACGTCTTGATATAGTCGAGAAACCTTCGACCTAGAATATGCAGAGGGAATTAATGTAAATGACCTCTTTATCTGTCGTCTCGTATGGCCATGTTGCTTATGTCGTTGTTACCAACCGACGCAATAATAACAGAAAGATGAAAGCTCACATCGTTACAATGTTGAACCGTTCAAGTGATTCCTGAGCAGTATTTGAACAAGATTTCGTCGATCGTACTGCTGGTGCCTCAGAAGGATGAGTGATATGGATACAGAGAACCCTGTCATAAGAGACACAAGAACAGTGAAATTGTACAGTGATTCGTCTGAACCATCTGAAGATGGAAAATCAAATCAGTAGTGTATGGAAAGATATATAGAAACATTGGCCATCAACATTCTTTAAAACATGACACACCTTATGAAACAGAAAAGCATGCAAGCAACAGAAACTCATCAATACTGTGAACGCGGAACAATTACAACAGTCGACGTTGAGCACACATTGTCCTCTTATGGATTGAAGAAAGTATTTCCCGATTCCAAGATCAACTTTTAAGACTTGGTAAAATGGTTGAACATTGCTAATATGTTCTTCCTTGGGTAATGAAGATTGCAGAAATTCGCAGTCATGTAACATGTTTCTGGTTTTGAGTCGTCCTATTACAGCTGTCGGACTGCAATATAGCATAAAGACCGAGCTCGTTTATAGATTGTCGATGCTCATTGATGGTATCGCAATCTGTTTATCTGATAACTGATATCAACTTGTAGAAGTACTATATTTTACACTGAAGGAAGCAGGCATTGAACCAGCCCGAGTTTCCTCTGGCCCTGACACCAGACTTTGACATTTTGACAGATAGATGTCTGATGTGGCCATCTATCTGTCAAAATGTCTAAGTCTGGTGGCAGGGCCAGAGGAAACTCGGGCTAGCATTGGACAGTCTTACATGTGGGAAGGAATACCGAGCATTCAACGTAGAGAATGCAAGGGTTTCGGTCACAATGAAGCCATCGGATATGGAGGCATTTTTGTTTACAATGCATCACTTCCCAACACTCCAACTCCGTTGTCACGAGTGAAATGAGGAGATTAACGTCTCCACCTTGTACTGATAAAGCAATCATAATACCCACTATTCATGCGCCGATGGGATGTGACAGTTTCGTCATCGTCATTGGTAAATACGTTTTACTGCACATTGAATACAAATGACATGGGATTGTTTCATGGAAACTTGACGACTATCAAAATTACCAGAACAAAAGAATCTCAGTGGATCAAGCAACATAGAAGTCAAAAGTAACCTGTATGTATACATATGAAGTAGAGTAGATTAAACTTATAGTCTTGTAATCTTTGTACCATATGTGGTGGATCTGTTGGTAAACGTTTGTGTATTTGAAAGAGTCAAAATAATATCGACAACTCATTGAAATAATCATATTGGATGAAAGCGTAAACCATTATAGACAAATAAAAGTGATACATGTATCGGGTAATACACCAACTTACACTGCCTCCAGCACATATTCACACGTGTGTATACACACCACACATGGAGCCAGCCACATCCTTAAATGACCTTAGATGTGGACAACCAACCAACTAATACTACTATATCAACAGTATTTGAGTGGATAGAAAGGATGATTGTTTTCTAAGGGTTAGGGGTTTCACAGCCTTAGCTGAACACTATTGTGAAATATCTCTTCTTCTGAAGAAGTCACAACCTATGGAAATATTTATAATGTGGAAATAATTCATCTAAAATCAATGACAATTATTGTCTAAACGGGACAAATATATCGTGAGAAATCAAAAATGTATTATCTGGGTTATTCTGTCAGGACAGTAGGTAATGTGTAGAATTTATGATAAAATGACAAGTCTCTGCTTTTAATTCATTACTGTCAGCACTGTCTTAGCCTTAAGAATCTCCATTTTACAGTACTGCCCAATCCTCAATCGTCTCCCCTCTACAGAGCTGTCCTAGCCTCAATTCTCTCCCCTGTACACACATATCTTAGACTCATCTTAACCCTTTCATCCCTGGGTAACTTTAGTAGACTCTACCATACGTTTATTTGGATGAGTCCAATATGGTCTACAGTGGTGAAAGGGTTAACCACAACAAGGATGTTAAGGCATTCAACACTGATTGTGATCATGTCCTTGTCTGTTGACCGAACTTTCACTAGAAAGGGATGATTTCACGTCAAGTAGTCATGTGTTCTTAATCTGGTGGTTTGGTCTGGTGTTATTTTGTTTTTAACGTCGTATAAACAGCTAAGGTCATTTGTATGCGTCCTTGTGTGTCGTGTGCTAGAGGCAGGGTATGTTGGTGTAGATAGCGCGGGTCTGATGCCAACGTTATAGTGCTACCTCACTGAAATACCATGCCGAAGACACCCATCACAGCATTCCTCCCGGTCACATCATATTGACAACGGGTGAACCAGTTGTTGCAATTACCCTAAATGCTGAACGTTAAGCAGGGAATAACAACTACAAAGGACAGAACCCATTGCCTTCCTGACCGTGGTAAACGTTCAACATTAAAGTCAAAAGAGAGGTGTTGCCAAGCAAGGCGCTAGGAATCAACAGGCACTCAGAATAGAAAGAAATACAAAAGATTTCAAATATTGCAACATTTCTTTCGCGGTTTTTTTTATAGATTCTGTTGTTCAGGAGAGAAAATCTATAGAGAACATTTGGTATATGATTGCCAATCTTAGAGACAGTATATTTTGGTTTACCTTAAACCGATTTCGGTGCGAATGAATGCTCTCTAAACCAATTACCTGACCTCATTTGAACTTAAACAGAAAAAGACAAGTCAAAGTCAACTGCTTCAAATATGTATTAATTTTAATATCAATGTTGAAAATTGTTCTGAGACATTAGATATCGTTGATATATGTTCATATACATGATTTTATACAATTTTATACAATATTCATTGGTCATGACGAAGTTTTTCTATAATTTAAATGACTATTTACAATGATTTTGTTGAGGTAAAATTGATGAATTATTGACCGTGTGTCCAGTCCTATGAATATATCTAAGACTTATGATTTTGGTCAATTAAACTCACAATAAAATGTTAAGAAATATTATGCATGCGTCATGATTTGTGAAGAAAAGTCCTCCGATCATTCTGAAGACAAGTCCACGTTATAACGAGTGTCGCTACAGAAAGGTTTGTATGCCTATCAAGAGAAATCTGACAAAGTAGTTGCCTGACAGTTTCGCATGTACTGTCATTTCTAACATAGTCGAAGAGTTCGGCAATGTTTCTTTACTCAATAAATGGATGCCTGCCAAGTTTTTGAAATTATCGAGACAAGACTTAGGTGATGCGTCAATACTGCTTTTCACTTTGACTGCAAACGTCCTCATTGATCTAACCGTTCTTATTTCTACTATGGATTCCCAATATGTTTACACATCTTCAAAATGTATATTTCCCTCTTTTGAACTAAGATCGGGTTGCTTGTTACCAAGTGGTTATTTGTTCCATCGACTGTATAACTCTAGCTTTTCCGGAAATACCTACATTTCAATACCAAATCGTAACGTAGTAGTTGTAAATATTACTCTAATTGTTGTATCAATATTTCCCAACTCTTATACTTATATTCCCCAAAGCTCTTATTTTTTATCACTATACATCATCCTTATAACAGCATGTCTGATTGGATTATAATAATCACATGATGGGAAAATAAAACAGTGTCAACCTTACGCGCTCGATTTTCCCCGTCATATATTCCTTATTCGGAGCCTCTCTACAAAAATTGACAAAGGGCACCACACTTGAGCTCAGAGTGACTGAAGCAGACAACAACAATAGCACGGAAGCCTTATTTATACACTTTTGTGTTGTTGTTCTATATCGGTATTATACAATGTGTATTGCCCTTGTGGTAGGAAAAAGACCTCTCGTGATACATGATTAAACCCGGGAAATCAAAGAATCGTTTTTACCTACCACACAGGGGCAATACATGTATACTATTGCGTATTCGGTATTATTTTACATGTATCAGATGCTCCATTTTGGGGTATGCAAAAGTTGATTTCCGAGTATGAAATATTGATCATTGTTTAAATAAGTAGTCCAATTTTGATATATTTCCTATTTTCCAATAAATCTACAATATTGCATAGAAGCAGAAAAGTGGATACCTGAATGACTGAAAAAGGCCACCACACAAACAATATTCAAAGCATCCGAACGTGTTTGTTACGTTGTCAATAATCTCCGAGTTCTAGAAGCAACGTAATCAAATGGTCATATAATAAAATATCGAGAGAAAAGCTAATAACAGGATACAGCAACTACATTAATAAATAATTGATGTAGTATTCCACTCGAAGTGCTGCCAAAATTGTATACATTAGTATGCATTGTTCTTCCTGTTGACGTATTCCAAGTACATTGTATATATAGAAAACATGTTATACAAGCTACATAAAATGGAACTTTGCTTTTAATACTGATCGATAGTTTCTGGAGTATTATAAATTGCTATATTGTATCATTTGAAAAAAGTGTCCAACGGTAATCTTTGTCGCATCTTAGCATCACAATCCATTGCCTCATATTGGTGTTTTCAGACACAATTCATAATGTGGACCCTAACGGGTCGTACTTTTGACTATCCAAGGTGATGTCCGAATGTAATCAATTCAAAACCCAGCATCTGTGGTTTGTTTGTGTAAGCCAAGACATTTCACCGCCCTAATTTCTAGCTCTTTTTAACGCTGGCTACATTACCCAGCGACGCTAATGCTGCCGTAACCTCAACAGGTCGCAATTCAATTTGCTCCCGTGGTCTAGCCTGAGGATGATCCGTCACTGTTTTTATGTAAAGCCTTCATTCGGTGAAATTGTAAGAATATGATTGGCGAATAGTTGACACAAAACGAATCTGTAGCACCGTGCAGTGACAATGATTTGATTTTGATCCTCGAAAATGTATAAGAGACTAAATTCTAACCACTGGGGTAGCGCCGCCTCCAAGCGTTTTTCCAAATATTCGATAAACAGACTGTGGAGTGAAACCGATAGAATATCGTCAGTGGAATGGACACGTGATTAACAATGTTCCAAGCCACCACCCCATAATAGTTCAGTTGCATGGGGTTAGCTTGTGAGCGCAACACCTCAAATGTTGTTATGCTCCACAGGGCAATGTTACATACTAACAAAAACGTCACAAATTCACGACCTGGCTTTTGTCGCTCATGTTCACGTTTTCCTGCAGATTTCCTGAGCGCGTGCAGAAGGAATACAGTCTGAAGCGTGGCCTGGAACATTCCCAGGACACTTGATAATATGACGAGGAACCCATTGGATTCTTGACTGTCCATGGCAGCGGCGATGATGCTAAATAATCCGAACGTGAATTCTCCCACCAACCCGATTAAGAGCAGGCTTTCTTCGAGGTCTATCTGCTTCTCTATCGAGTAACGTAGAGATTGCATTCTGTGAAACGCCAAGATGACGGCGATCGACGTCAAAACGTAAATGACAACTTCCGAAAGGTGTTCTAATTTGAGAGCTGTGTCAAGATAAGACATCGAGCCGATGAGAACAAAAAATATGATCATGGTTATGACGGTGGCGACGAGGACAAAGATCCCGATGAATAGTCCCCGACTGGATCCGGAGCAATCGACATTGATCCTCTGGGCCTTCGCCTTAGACTCGATGTCTAACACTTCGTTACCATCGTAACCCATCTGGAATCGTCCGATATTCTTCCACATCACGTACAGGATACCTGATGATATAGAGAAAAATCAGGCTGTCAACATTTCTTTTTACGGAAGTGTTTAAGGTTCAAAGCTTACTAAAATAGTTTATGCTCAATGCTACAAGAAACGTTCCAGATGTTCAGGTAATAGAACATTTCTGTGTTCAAAGACTTTTGAAAGTTACTGGCTCAAAGCTGAAAGAGAAAATGTCCATCCGTATGGATTTAGATTGATCATAGGATGCTACATAATAGAAAACAATTAAGATTCTCGTCATCTGACTGAACTTAATGTTGTATGTGACCTACCTGCACAGATGATGCTGTACTCCACACTACACGGGTACAGGTAGGGACCAGACGACTCCACAACAGATTTCATCAGAGAATTACCATTACACCTGAGGATACCGGCAGACGTCATGGAACCATTCTGTACTGTATAACAAATAGACAGGTTACAATGTTATTGAATGATCTAAAACTGCCGTCTTTAAAGTGGCAATTAAATATCAACATTTTACATAAAACTATATTTTATTTTGTCATTTTAGTAGAAAACGACAACCCAAATTTTCAGCTTATCAAAGTTGAGCATTTTTAAGAAATGAAAGATTTCAGAGATTAGTGTTAAGTGTGTATGCTGAATCTAACAAGACGAATCTTCAATACTTTAAAAGCAATTAACGCCGCATTACTGAATGATAAGCGTCAGACAAACACATAACATATAAAATTGATAATAGATACAGTATGTCGACACTGAGTTACACTGAACCATACAGACGTATCGTCCTTCTTGGACTCATCGGTGATGTTAGAGGCTAAAAACTGGGAATCTTAATTGGTCCCAATTACTGTTGTAACAGAAGGGGAGGTACCTAAAAACCCTTAATTATACGGATTTCCAAAACTAGAGGATAACTGGTTAACTTCAGTGTGTATATTATGAACTGTGCTTTTTACTGAAAACGATTTACACTAGTGTCTTATGCTTTGTTAAAATACATGTTCAATTATATACCAAAATTCATCATTTATATTTGGTAATAATCTCCTTGAAGAGCATTTTTCAGGAAATTTGACCGGGCGTTTTTATATTTCAATTATATCACATATACATATGCAACATAAAGTAGCTTGAACTATTGTTTTCATTACAACAAGATAAAAAGATTTAGGAGAGCGTATAGTCAATAACAAACAATGAAATACTGACCGAGATACATTTGTAGACACAAAAACCATGTCTCAACGAGTACGATATTCGATAACACATTCCCTTTCCTTATGTCGTTTGTATTCAGCACTACGATATAATGAAGAGGCAAGAACGATGTGCATGAAAACGAATATTTTTCGTAAAATTCTTAGTATCGCTATGAACAAACTTTTAGAATAGTAAGTGACGTTGTTAACTTTCTGACTATTTGTTAAAAGACGAAGGTTTAATAGGTCACTGTTGACCGAATTTTAAATGAGACTATTGATCGTCAAGACTTAGATTTAATTTCATTTTGTGCTGGATGGACTCAGTCATGTTTCACAACAGACAGAATTGTACCATTACTTGATATGGCTATCTACCGTGGAAACATTACTGGCAGCGCCACAAAGCATACTGGCACCACGCACGTGACAAAAACCCCTGGCGACACAGTATCGCAACATCACGAGATCTCTGAACTGACACTAGTGGATTAAAGACACAATGTGATGATAATCTGTGTCGTTGTCTTTTGACCGTGAGCGGAAAAGAACCCTTACGGAGGATATGTATCCCATGTCAGCAATAAACACGAGGTATGCTGCCAGAAATCTGTATCTGTCAAACTACACAGCACGTGCCCCCATCAGATCGTACCAAAGCACGTGCGATCGATGATGACCCAGATCAACTTCTCTCGGAGGCCTCTTCAGGATGTCTATATTTGCATTTCTGTAATGTTATTTTTGCCTAGAGAGGTCCGGGGATTTATCTTCATGTTGTGATTACTTTTATTTTGTCCATATTGGGAAAGCATCTTGTGTGTTATCCAGCAGCCACTTAAAGCTATGCTAACAGTCAAGACTGATGCTGAGATTAATGTTTGAGTTATAGGTGCCGAATGAAGCAGCCTCATAGTGTATAACACTAAATGATATCAAAAGAACTATAAGGTTTTACGTAATTTTGTTGGTACCTTTTTTCGTTTTCATCCTCCCCAATAAATTGTGACCTTGATATGATGTAATAGTGCTAAATAATTCATTGCTCACTCGACCAGAAATACTGCGAAGAACATGCTTAACGTATTACAGACACACATGGCTGTTGCAGGGACCATCAATCCGACACATACCCTGGTGTACTGATTGGTTGTTTGACACGTTCGGACCTAACCACGTGCCCGCTTCTCTCTGCCGGAAGTTGTATGTCTCGATCTCACGCAGAGTTTCCCGGACAATGTTCTCCACCCACACACACAGGTTTGTGGCTACCATGTGCATAAGTCCGAACCTGGCCAAGCTTTTGTAGCGATGGATACACATCTGAAAGTACACAAAAATAGAAATATAACATTTACGTGTGTTCCTGTGTTATATTGTAAAACAATAATAAGTCCGTGTCATTTTCATTCTTGTTCTTTCTATCCTAAATCATGGACAGGTAGTGACAATGGTTACACATTGGTTGTATTCAATTATGCAACGGACTCAACGGACTTGTCTCAAAGAACAAAACTGTCTAAGAGTATTGATAAATAATATGTACCTGTGGTGAATGTGCTGAAAGGATAACAAAAGCAGTCGTTTTTAAAGGACTTTTCAAATATTCAAAAGTTAAAGCTTCAGGTATTTCTCTAACATATCAAGTTGGGTAATTTTCAAAATATAAGGCCAGACAAAAGCCGTTAGATATCCAGGGAATCGGGTCGTATGATTCATCATCACTTTTTGGCACAAACAAGTGTAAATAGTTTAATTGAATTGAAGTATTTCCACATTGCTTGGCTTCTCAGTGCCATCTAACGCACTACAGCCAGCGACTGTGTGAAATGAAGACTCCTAGGAATGGGTCTAAACAAGGCATCGTGTAATTAGGAATTTTGGAGAATACTGCGACCTGCTGACCTTCTGGATAGATATTATAAACCTAAATTACAAATTGTTATTATACACCTCGATACCAGTCTCCTGTACGTCAGTGACGTGTTAGGTTAGATTCTACAGACCCCTGCTGTACTGTTGTGTGTGCGTGCTGGGCAGTAGAGACCATATTTTTTGTATTTACTTTGATGTTGAAAGCTCCCATATGGATACTATTAGGAGAAAATGGCAGAAAGCATACAGGTGTTTGTAGTCTACGCCCAAGTCGTAAGTCACATTCTTTAAGCCATGTCGTCTTAACAACCGAAAACACTGATCATACGGCTGAGGAGGTACGATCGTTGTAGTGCTACATGCTGTCTATATCAAACAGCAGACAGACAAAGCAACTTGGAAAGAGTTTTATCAAAATAGTCTCAAAGAACCAAATATTAAAGCGACTGTATTCAAACGGCCACCTATTATAGAGTCAACTTAAGATGATCGAGTAAATGTATATCACAATAATCATTTGTAAGGTAAGTCGATGGTAGATGTTGTAATATAGCCGAATTGGTCGGTTGATATAGTAAAACAAGAGGCCCAAGGGCCCTAGCGGTCACCTGAGTTATTCCATAGGTACTTTATTTTATTTTTTAGATGTGATGTGGAAATCAGCAAGTTACCTAAGTGAAATACAATATTTGTCATGTCATCAAAGGATAAGAATTTTAAAATATTGGTAAATGTTTCCTTTGGGGCCCCGTCCTAGCCCCTGGGGATGGGGCAGGAATTCCAATTTTACACTGTAATACCCTCATCCACCAAAGATGATTCTAACCAAGTTTGAATAATTTTCTGCTTAAAATGGATAAAATATACCCAAAAGTGTTATTTCCCTATATAAACTATAGTAAAGTTTACCCCCTCCCCAAGGGGGAACGGATGGCTCAGGGGTCCTGAAATTGACATTTTCATTAAAGCTGCTGATGATCTTTCTATCCATGCACTGACATTGACTGTAGTACCTCCGAGTCTGGAGCAGAAGATTTTTGAAATATTGGTATTTTTTTCCTTTGGGGCCCACCCTGGCCCCTAGGGTTGGGGAAGGAATCCCAATTTTACATTTTAAAACCATCTTCCTCCAAGGATAATTCTCACCAAGTAAGAATACCTTCCTACAGAAAATTGTCAAAATATAAACAAAAGTGTTATTTGCGTATATAAACTATAGTAAACTTTACCCCCTCCCACAGGGAGAAGGGATGGCCCGGGAGTCATGTTAACAATTTAAATTTAAAGTCCCTGATGATCTTTCTATCCATGTAGAGAAAATGACTGTAGTACCTCTGAGTCTGGAGAAGAAGATTTTTGAAACATTGGTTAATTTTCCATTTGGGGCCCCGCCCTGGCCCCTAGGGTTGGGGTAGGAATCCCAATTTTACAATTTTGTAGCCTCATCTACCAAGGATGATTCTGACCAAGTTTGAAAAATTCCATCCATTGGTTCTTGAGAAGAAGTTGAAAATGTAAAAAGTTTACGCACGACGGACGACGACGGACGGAAAGTGATCGGAATAGGTCACTTGGGCAAAGCTCAGGTGACATAAAAAGTAAAAATAGTATAAACATTAAACAACATGAAAAAACACGATCTGATGATACCGGCGTGACAACGTATTCTATCGTATAAAGTCGTAACTAATGCAGATTTATCTTATCTTAAAATATATGTTGTTTACTTGCCAACACCGTGTATCTGTATACCTTTTTATGTTAAGGATGTGCAATATCTGTATATTACAAATTAGTGGAAATGACAGAGAGGCGTTGAGAGAGTCGGTTATGTGGGAGTATGGTGTAGAAGTGAGGAGAAAGGAAGGTTTATGGGGCCGCACCTTGTTACAACACTTGTAGTCAGTCGAGGTCCAGATCGCCCCAGACCTGGTTCGTGACAGACAACTATTCAATCATACACGATATGAATAAAAGTGCTCTCTCCTGTTCTTCGTTAATGCTTCATCATCACTTTTTGTAAACTACACGAATATTTCGTCTCATTATTGTACTTTAGCGTGCCAATGGTACCTTAACCATCGACTGGTAGCCAATGAAGATTAGACAGACTCTCCTTGGTTCCTAGAAAAAATATTGGCCGATAGTATTGACTAATATTGTGCATATTATGTATGTGTGGTGAAAGTGGTGTAAGAAGACATGCTTAGATTCTTTGTCTCCGTCCGTGAATACGAGACCGACAGCCGAGAGAAACATAGTACACTGTGAATTCGAAAACGGATATCTGGTACACAGTGAAATCGTTAATCCCAATGTCAAAGTACACAACTATGTCTTCCCCCGAGTCACAGTCTCCTCCACAATTTGAAACTTTTTGAGCCTAGTTTCAAGACAGATTTCTTAACAATGATTACAATGATCACGCTCTTTTATATTCTCAACTGGCCAGTAGTTTCACAACGATGAAGACAGAAGAAAAAAGCTGCTAAAAAGGGCAAAAACATCATAACTCCGTCTTATCCAAGAAATATTAAGCTAGTTCTATATTATGCTAAGTTTCCCCTTATTATCATCCATGACTTATACTACAGACGCAGCTCAACCATCTCAGCATCAGTCATCTCGGACTTCTCTTTAACACTGGTACAATGTATACGGCACTAGAAATGATACCGTTCCCACTACAACAGAACACAATACATCTCCAACACACACGCAGGCATACACACAAAGGGAGATATTAGCCAGGTGACATATGACTATAATTAGCGCCTGATAAGGCAACTCCTGCGAATTCCTCAAAATTGTATTAATTATGTGTATGCTAACTGTATTGGTTGTATAAATTGTATATGTACGGTAAAGCGCTTCATATTGACCCGTTCTAGCTTGATAGGGCGCTATATCAAATGTTGTATATCAATATAGTATATATTATGTGTAATTATTATATGTGTTGTTGCATGCTGACTGTTCAAGAGACTCTACATAGACTTTCTATGTAGACTGTTAAAAAACAGCGATAATTATCTCCCAAAAATACTTATGGACGGGTCAAAAGTCGCCAACAAACGGTCGTAAGGGAAAACTTAATAGTCTTTTCCTTTTAAAGGAGAAAAATCGACATGTTACTTGATCATTTATGTTAAAAGTTGTTTGGTGTATTTAGCTATCTCTGTTATCGTATAGCACTACCCTCCGGGATGTGGTTTGTTTTCGGACAATATTGAAGGAAATATAAGTAAAATAACCACATGCCTGCAATCCACTGAGTATACACATTTCATTAATCGATTGCTTTCACAACAAACATGCTGTAGTGGCATAATTATCCACTTAAAAAAATAGGTTCAGATATACGATTTTAAGCTTACCTTAAAGTTTGGGAGCACAGTGTGGGAAATGAAGGTATTAGTGAAGAACTTACCTTTGCATTGAGAAATACAATGTATGTGATATGAAAGTGAAAAAATGACATTTCCTTTGATTTGAGAAATGAAAAATATACAAATATAAAGTTTTAAAGGGTGCATTTACCTTTGAGTTAAGAAAGACAAAATAAAGCTGTATGAAGGCATAAGGGATGAACTTACCTATGATTAAGGAAGACAAAGTAAAGCTGTATGAAGTTGTAAAGGATGAACTTACCTTTGAGTTAAGGAAGACAAAGTAAAGCTGTATGAAGGTGTAAGTGATGAACGTACCTTTGGGTTCAGGAAGACAAAGTAAAGCTGTATGAAGTTGTAAAGGATGAACTTACCTTTGAGTTAAGAAAGACAAAGTAAAGCTGTATGAAGTTGTAAAGGATGAAGTTACCTTTGAGTTAAGGAAGACAAAGTAAAGCTGTATGAAGGTGTAAAGGATGCACTTACCTTTGAGTTAAGGAAGACAAAGTAAAGCTGTATGAAGGTGAAGCTGAGCTGTAGGAGAGGTCGGACTCCGTGTAAAGGGTTACTGCAGTTCGAGAACGATTCGGAGTAAAAGAACTGTCCGAAGAGGAGACCACTCTGTATCATACTCCCGACACCAAAAGCTGTCAACGGGAAATAAAACTGTGATAAAGCTCGACTGCAATATGTGTCAGATTCCATTAGCTTATTTTGATGAAGTAAATTTGAACTATTTAAGCAACGTTTTCAAAATTAAAAGGAACTGAATATATTTGTTAAATGATATAATTTTTGACATGATATTTAATATATGATTTCTTTAAGTACATACCAACAGCTCCTAGTCTTAGATAGAAACTTCCGGTATTGTATGTTCGGGACACATCAAATGAGTATTTCCGTTTCCGGCTGGAGGTGGAGCCATTTGAATCTGGCGAGTTCATCCGTCGTTTGACCTTCTTGCGCAGTCGCACTGTCTTGTTTTGTAACAAATATACGTAGGCGTACACAAGGAACACTATACTGACGGAATACAGATAAATGTAAAACCCCTGCAAAAACAAAGCAAATATTAAAACACCAGTCTTTGCATTTTATTGAATTGTTGAATAAGATATCCAAAAGCTTTCTTTTGTATTCATATTTTATTTAAAAATTCTTTTTATTTGCCAGTTATTATGAGTACCAATATTTACCTCAAATAGATATGGCATCGGTTTTGTAGCAAATATATCTGCTATAGGCATGACACACCCCATCACGACGACGAGCATGGCATAAAGGCCGCTTACGATGATGAAAAGGCTGTCCCTAAAACACGTCAAAGACAGAAACGTCACCATTTCATGCAGTTCACATAGCTCTCATGCAACTCGTGATTTTTAAAGTATGTACCTGAACAAGAAGAGAACAAACACATCACAATACCTCTCCAACAGTGAACCAATAATAGGACTCAAATTTCTGCGATAGCAAGTGAACGGTAATAACGTCAACACATTATATAAACAGATATCATACGTCGGCTTTACAACAAACGCCACGGTTCCATATAGTATGTACATATATAGATACCACCGGCTCACTGTGGTGGAAATTTCTCTCCAAAAGGAGATTAAGGAAGTTAATCAACGCTACCACATCCAGTACAGATTTTCACAATAATTTTGTTTCAGAAGCCCAAAGTACACCAACAGTTGCTACAACAGACCGAGTAGACAGTACATATTAGTAGTATGATTAGTAAGTAATATGTTGGGGTCATTATTTGGAGTTTCTGATCCTTACAGGTTATTATTTCTTACTCTTAGATGTGATAATTTGGAGTTTATTGTCTTTAGAGAAAACTATTTTGAATTGTTCTTCTTTAGGAGATATACTTTGGAGTTGCCGATCGTTAGAAGATATTATTTGGAGTTGCTTATCTTTAGAAGATATTATTTGGAGTTGCTTATCTTTAAAGATATTATTTGGAGTTGCTTATCTTAAGAAGATATTATTTGGAGTTGCTTATCTTTAGGAGATATTATTTGGAGTTGCTTATCTTTAGAAGATATTATTTGGAGTTGCTTATCTTTAGACGATATTATTTGGAGTTGCTTATCTTTAGATATTATTTGGAGTTGCTTATCTTTAGAAGATATTATTTGGACTTGCTGATTTTAAGAAGAAGATATTATTCAAAGTTGCTGACATTTAAAGTCAATGATGAGTTCTACACACGCTTGCATGATAAAATGTCAAGTTTAAGCGTATTTTAATGCTTTCACAGAAATAATCTTATTCCATCCTGATATGAAATAAACTATCACTTTCTTACAAGATCGGCTTCACGTTTCAGTGTTTTTGTTTCATATTTTGAAGCAACTGGAATAATTCCCGACAGTGTGTAGAATAAATGTTAACTTTCTCGACGAATGGCTGATTATAATCTCTTTCAGTATAGAAATACTTGATCCAGGGGAATAACTCACTACTGCTCATTTCACTTAACATTATTACAAATACGTATTATTATTACAAATACGTATCATTATCACAAATACGTATTATTATTACAAATACGTATCATTATTACTAATACGTATCATTATTACAAATACGTATCATTATTACAAATACGTATTATTATTACAAATACGTATCATTATTACAAATACGTATCATTATCACAAATACGTATTATTATTACAAATACGTATCTTTTTTACAAATTCGTATCGTTATTACAAATACGTATTATTATTACAAAAACGTATCATTATTACAAATACGTATCATTATTGCAAATACGTATCATTATTACTAAAATGCGTAATGCTACTACGCTCTCGGCAATCAAAATACAGATGTTGAATTGGTGCAATTTCGGCTAATCCAAAACTATATTCGACATTTTTTTCTACAATTTATCTGCCATACAAACCGTCTCGTTCCCCGATTGAGCTCTCAGCGAGATAAAGTTTGTGCAAACTGTCTACGCTATTAAACAAATTGGTTCATAAATTCTATCAGATTTTATACAGCGACGCGTACAGCCCATTATATACCCTCGATACAATTACATAAGCACTGACAAAGCTAACTGTAAGATATCTGTATTTACTAGCGGCAAAGCCATGTCAGACGGAGTACGTGGATAGAGCTTAGAGGTAAACAAGCAAATCTAAAACATAACCTTAGAATAAAATGATATAATTACAACATCGTCAATATACCTGGACGAAATCGGTATTCCATGTTAATACAAACAGACAAAAATAGGAACTGAAGTCGCACTTTAACGAAAACATAAGCAGAACAAAAAACAAATTAATACCCCTACAAAATATTCTGAGTCGATACTAGGTACAATTTCTCGATATTGTGTCACACACTTATTCGCGGGGGTTTACAATTTCTGTAAGTCTGTTTAGGTTGTTTTATTTATATATTTTTATGCTAACTGTTAATTGTTTTATTTAGTGTTCTTCTTATAAAATGATGTTTTGACCTAGCAGCCTCAGCTCAACTGATATCACAGATGTGTGAATAGTGGATGTTATCGCAACGATTTCAAAATGTTCACGAAGGTTTAAATTTCGCAACTTTAACCGCTTTGAGGAAATTCGCGAAATTGTCACCCTCGTGAATATTAGCAATTATACAGTACTCTAGACCGGTTTTTAAACAAGATCAACATGCAGTGATGCTGAACGAAGAATTTGATAAAATAGTGACAATGATGAGGGCCAGTGAAATAACTGGCATTATATACTGCTTGTCCCTAAACACAACACATTCTGAACCGCTGGATACAACTCTAGATTCAAATCAGGCTAAATCATCAACTTGGGTAGATATATATTCTCGATTCTCTCTATGAATATACAGTAGTAATGCTGATATATAATAGTTTAAAGCGCCTCCTTCACAGGATTACACGGCTATTTGTTTGATGATACTTCAAACACGTCACTCTGGAGCACGTTCTTTGTGCTTATAAATGAGTTAATCGCCTACAGTATTTCTTGTGGTTTTTTTTCTGAAAAATCAACTAGATCATCACGTCTGAATGTTCAACAAATATTTTCTAAATAATCAAGAGGCTCATCACTTCATACACACAAGCTTCATCTTTCCTTCTATTTGAAAATCACCCTGCTTTAGCTATACTTCCTAAAGGGAAGCTTTGATTAATAAAGGACCAGCTGTTTGAGCGCTGATTTCTAACGAAACAAAGATAACACTCTCATCTTCGTCCAAAGCGGATTACATATGATGAAAGGATGTGCACGGGCTTTGCTCATGTTACGCAATAGGAACAACGGCAAAATGCACGTGTACGAACTTTTGTTTTCTTCTTGTAGAACATGAGTACTAACTCGTTTAGAGTTTAGGCACTCTATTCTAAAATATAAGGCCACTGCTGATCACGTGCGGCATTAACGATGTTATTTTCACGTTACGCGGTGAGATATAATCACAACTTCATGCAATCTTGCGGTTCTGAGATTGTAAGATATATTCTTTTATTTACGGTTTTGAGATTGTTTTGTATCTGTTTTTAAGTGTATATAAATTGGCCACTGTTATGTTGATTTCGTTAAGTCATCTAATGGTGAAAAGTGGAACGTAACAGTACAGCGATTGTAGAACACTATTATAATCATGTTTACGTGAGCTGACGAGGGATGTCAGATTAGAAACTTCCGCGTGTTTTGTTTGTTTCGCCTTCGTCTCCAGACATATGCAAATAATGTTAATAGATATATCTGTTCCTTGTTCTCGTTCTCTCAGCAAGTTCGAGGGAAAGGTGACCTACACTATCCCACTGCATGTTATAGTAAGGACGATTAATATGGGGTTCCTGCAGCATCGGGGTTTGTCTTTACTTCTGTGTCTTCAGGGTAGGGGACATTGACAAAACTAACACTAATCTGCAACACGTGGGTTCATAATCGCTCTACTCTTTCCTGTTTTTGTGTCTCCCTCCCGTCTTCACATGGCCATAGCTGTTCCGAGAACATCAAACCCTTAGCAAAACAACAAACAAAATCACTTTTCTTTTTTGACGTCTTCCTCGTCAATAAATATTTCGAAGCAGAATCATAGAATGAGTCCATAAAAAGGAAAAGGTGTGGAGATACTTACACGAGGGTGGTGTCGCATGGGTGCTGGGTGACGTCACCCCATCGCCCATCCCTCTTTTTGAGGATAGAGAGCGAGATGTTGGATGGAGAGTCGGGATAAAAAAGTTCCCCATGGACTGTCGTGGAGTGTGTGAGGTCATGGCCGATACCTGAAAAACATGTCACCAATATAATGAACTTAATCAATCAATGGTATTGTTTGCTGACTTTCCGCCTGAATGTCTGACTTTAGTGACACAAACATTTACTGTTGTACCGTTAGATATAAACACGTGGTCAATGTGATTATTCTTTCCAAAAGCGTTCCAAACTAAGAAATTGGCAATATATTTTTCCATGTGAGGTAGTTTTTATATATATAGCGATGTTTCATTTGACACAACAATTGATAGCATATGTGCAAGGCTCACATGAATGATGGCACATTTGAAAGCCTCCTCGATAATCCAGGGGTTTCGCTCACTTTCGCTCTCTGCTGTGAGCGTAACCCCTGCAGTATCGAGGACGATTTGAAAAGTACACAGTAATCTATGACATATTTAAAAGGTACATAGAGATAGATGATACATTTAAAATGCATGTATGCAATGATGTTAACCTATTACATGATATGTTTCCAGCACAAATCGGTTTCTCTCTCTCCTTACAGCAATTCTTTAACCACGTTCTGATGTATGGCCGTGGAAGCTTGCCATCAATACTCTAACCCGTTTGTAAAGAATATGCCCTCCTTTTCACAGCGAACATGCGCTTTGATGTAGAATGACTTAATTACTAGGTGTTTGACTCACTATTTTCACTAGAATATCTTCTCTTTTGGAGGGATTTATATATACACTGTGGCATACATGGCTGCTTTTGTTGCAATTTTGACGTCAATTACGAAATGGTTAAGTTTTACGTAATGAACTAATATGTGACGTAAAAAATTAATAACAAAATGGTTCTACATCAAATGGGACTGTACACGTTATATAGTTGACTGTCATTTTCGGTGAAACCCTTTCGGTTGATTGTGAATTAAATCAAATTATAACAACGAATGGTTTAACAGGCGACTAAAATGCGGCATGATTATAAATTAAGGACGTCAGTTGAGAAATCAAGTGGATTAGTTTCAATGTCGTTCGGACACCTTTCCAACTATACCGAGACGAGAACATCCATTCAATAGACATCCGGGCACCAGTAAATGCTGGCTTTAATCTACTGCAAGTATGATTAATCTGAATACGACATCAAAATGGCGACTTCCCGTATCAATTTGATTGACCATTTACGACAAAACACATGATGCTTCCCACCATTGAATTCCTCAAATGTGTCGAATGACAATCCTATATTTGATAATTCGCCATCATTCCGTGGCTAAAAATGAGCCAATTAAATCTCGGTCCACACAGTACAAACATTCGTATCGTGATAACTACTTGCACTTCAATATACTAATTTGTATAAGCATTAGGGGCCCTGTTATGTTGAGTGTGTTTCAGCGACTTGCGCCAATAAGGAGTTTGTGTTGGCCACGTTGCCTTGCTGTCGTGTCTAACATTACAATTAACCATTAGGTGTGATGAGTTAATTAAGTATCCTCCAGCATTCGTATTGATGACACAAATGTTGGATAAAATAGTTTACAGAAAACAAATCGCTCAAAACACATAGGTTAATATGTTACAGAAAAGAATATTTAGAAAACAACCTCAATCACTAATCCAACACGAAATATGGATGAATCGCATCTTTAAGATAATAAGATGTGTTTAAAACACCGTCAAAATCTGAGTGTCTCATTTCACGGTACTTAGCGGTTGAGTGCTACAGAAGTACGCTGTCTCTTCTAACTAGCTACACACGCGGTTACCGTCGTACGCCTTCAAACACCCGCGATCGCAGACGGCCGTCATGAACTCGAGAGAAAACGTTAAATTGGGAAAAATGTATGTCTCCTGAAATCTTGGCTAGTTAAATGATTCTCGAATCTATGGAACTGATCAAAGACGGTATAGATTTCGTATAAAGTAATGGTTATGTTTCGGTCAGATGCCAAGACAAAAACGTCTTAGTTGTCAGGACAAAGTCGTAAAAATAGAACGCATAAACCTTTGCCAATTAGATGGGGAAGTAGCCCCTACGGCCACAATAAGCGGTACGCCAGACAGTATGCTTTCTGCACGAAAGGGTTTTGTTTGAAAATTTCCTCTATTTGCAGACAATGCACTCACTTAACCGCGGGATTCATGTTTTCTCTCCAAGTTTACCAAAATTGCAGAGTTCTTCCTTCCACAGGAATTTCGCTTTTGAACTTTTTTGTAACTTCACACGCATACGTGAAATTTTCCGAAAGATAGCAAGATTTGACCTGCAGCAGAGATAAAGGGAACCGTCTTCAAATCAAACGTCGCTTTCATGAAAATGAATTAAGGGGATTTCTGATAATGGGCACGCCTGTTCAAAGGCGAATCGTGTACAGCATATCCCACTTACATTTTGTATCGGCACCTTCTCTCTACACGTTCTGGTTTAACACTCGGCATCCCTCTAGACTTACCGAAGGTAGCATAGGTTGGAGGTATTGGGGTTCGATAACGGACACTTGGAGAAATAATTATTCATTATTACTTAGATTTGTCGTCAGGCCTACATGAACGAGTCTGACCTATCTACCAGGCAGTTGGGTAGGGTTATCTGTTATATTACCGTTGACTTTAAATATATAAACACATAAATATTCTGTTTAGATAAACGCAAATACTTTCTGAACATTGTTTCACGGCAACAGTCGCGCTCGGTGATAAATACACGTCATAATTAGTTCTTTGTCGGGATACTGATAGCATCACAAAAGGTTTACACAGCCTCGTAGTTTAATCCTTATTGAAAACAAAAACTAGTTGTGCTCATTAAAAAAGCTATCTCTAAAACGAGGAATTCGATAACGAAGCAGTACGTGCTCCACGGGACATGGTATTTTGAGAGTTGTGCTATAGAAACGAATTGCTCAACTTGACACGAACTCGACCAGGTCGAAAGATAAGCACGTGGTATGCTACGTCATATCTAAAAGAACTCGATTCAATATTGTCACCTATTTTATATAAAATCACACACAGTTTGCCTGTGTATATGTATAATAAGAAAATAAAACAAAAAGTAACGTTGTCTCTACACCTTTCACATCTCTTTCCATCGTAGCGTTGACCGTTACCATTGTAGTGTTGACCGCTACCATTGTAGCGCTGACCGTTACCATTGTAGCGTTGACCGTTACCGTTGTAGCGTTGACCGTTACCATTGTAGTGTTGACCGTTACCGTTGTAGCGTTGACCGTTACCGTTGTAGTGTTGACCGTTACCATTGTAGCGTTGATCGTTACCAGTGTAGCGTTGACCGTTACCATTGTAGCGTTGACCGTTACCATTGTAGCGTTGATCGTTACCATTGTAGCGTTGACCGTTACCGTTGTAGCGTTGACTGTTTCCATTGTAGCGTTGACCGTTATATATTGTAGCGCGTTGACCGTTATATATTGTAGCGTTGACCGTTACCATTGTAGCGTTGACCGTTACCATTGTAGCGTTGACTGTTTCCATTGTAGCGTTGACCGTTATATATTGTAGCGCGTTGACCGTTATATATTGTAGCGTTGACCGTTACCATTGTAGAGTTGACCGTTAGATATTGTTAAGTACAATAAGCCTGCCTATCACAAAGCTCTTCCGTACCAGAACATATGCTTTTGCTTATAACGATATTTGATTGTATGATTTGGGTGCCAATAAAACATATAGGTGATTAGTTCATTAATATGAATGTGCACCTTGACAAATCTTGGCCGTTCTAAAACAAAAAAGAAGTCCCACGCACAATTCGGAAGACACACCTCGGTGGACAGAGAAAGACATCAATATGGTTGCTGTCAAAACAAATTACCATTTATTCGTTTTTGATTGATTATATTTGGAAGAAAAAAATCATTTTTTTCTGTTTAATGTTAGGAATGACTAATTGCTTCAAGATATGGCTATCTGTAAACATACCTCTGGTACATTGCTATGATATTTTATAGCGAGCGCACTACACCCCTCAATGAATTATTTATGTCAGTTAATCAAAGATAGCCCGCACCGTCTGTTCCGCATTCAATTTGCTTATTATAGTAGCTAGGGCAGTGGAACGCTTGACTTCTTCCTGGACGTTTGAGGTGAGTGTGAAACGATGAATTGAAGAGTCAGTTACTTATTAAGTCTTATACATTATAATGCTAGAATGCCTGGTTTCCTGGTGTGTCTATTGCGCTAGACGGAATAGTATAGGTCCATCAGGAGGTCAATGAGTTCCGACACGAGAATAGAATTATCAACATATATGCGTCTTTTATGCATGTATACATTCATCCGCAAGACTTCAAAGGAAGGGTAAAGGGCTTGGTATGAAATATGGCAAATGCAATGAATATACAGAGAGCAAAGGGAACTCAGATAGTTCAGTAAGCATGGGATAACTGCACGTACCGGCTAGTCTAATTAGCTTAACGTTATACACGTGTAAACACGGGCCGCATAAACATTACATGTAGACTAGACGGTCTATAGAAAGTATGGGGTCACCTGTACGTGACAGTCTAGAAAGTATGGGGTCACCTGTACGTGGCAGTCTATAGAAAGTGTGGGGTCACCTGTACGTGACAGTCTAAAAAGTATGGGGTCACCTGTACGTGACAGTCTAGAAAGTATGGGGTCACCTGTGCGTGACAGTCTATAGAAAGTATGGGGTCACCTTTACGTGACAGTCTATAGAAAGTATGGGGTCACCTGTGCGTGACAGTCTAGAAAGTATGGGGTCACCTGTCCGTGACAGTCTATAGAAAGTATGGGGTCACCTGTGCGTGACAGTCTAGAGAAAGTGTGGGGTCACCTGTACGTGACAGTCTATAGAAAGTATGGGGTCAACTGTACGTGACAGTCTATAGAAAGTATGGGGTCTCCTGTACGTGACAGTCTAGAAAGTATGGGGTTACCTGTACGTGGCAGTCTATAGAAAGTGTGGGGTCACCTGTACGTGACAGTCTAGAAAGGATGGGGTCACCTGTACGTGGCAGTCTATAGAAAGTGGGGGGTCACCTGTACGTGACAGTCTAAAAAGTATG